TTACACTGTTTTAGATATATCTGTACCACAATAGAATCTTACACTGTTTTTAGATATATTTCTACCACAATAGAATCTTACACTGTTTTTAGATATATCTGTACCACAATAGAATCTTACACTGTTTTTTTTATATATATCATTACCATAATAGAATATTACACTGTTTTTAGATATATCACTACCACAATAGAATCTTACACTGTTTTTAGATATATCTGTACCACAATAGAATCTTACACTGTTTTTAGATATATCACTACCACAATAGAATCTTACACTGTTTTTAGATATATCACTACCACAATAGAATCTTACACTGGTTTTAAATATATATATATATATATATATATATATATATATATATATATATATATATATATATATATATATATATATATATATATATATATATACCACAATAGAATCTTACACTGTTTTTAGATATTTCTCTACTACTAGATAATCTTACACTGTTTTTAGTAATTTCTCTACAACTAGAGATTGTTAGACAGTTTGTAGATACAAGGTAGATCCAGGAAGATTCTTACACTGTTTATATATATTCTTCTACCACAATAGAATCATACACTGTTTTTATATATTCCTGTAACACTAAATAAATTTACACAGTTTTTTTTAGATATTTCTCTACTACTAGCGAATCTTACATTGTTTTAGTTATTTCTCTACTACTAGAGAATCTTACAATGTTTTAGTTATTTCTCTACTACTAGCGAATCTTACACCGTTTTAGTAATTTCTCTACTACTATCGAATCTTACACTGTTTTGTAATTTCTCTACTACTAGCGAATCTTACACTGTTTTGTAAGATAGATCTAGGAAGATTTTTACACTGCCTTTATAGAAATCTCCTATAAGATAATATATTGTATCATATTAAATATTTAATTATAGATAGACGTTCATTGAAAGTAAAATACAGTTTATCTACAGAAATTTCCTTTTTTTTCATGTAGTGCGCATATGTACTTTTTATTTTGTAGTGTGCATATATGTTTAATCTTGTAGTGCGCATATATGTTTTATCTTGTAGTGCGCATATATGTTGTATCTTGTAGTGCGAATATATATACACATTCGGTGTAGTTCTTGTACACAATCGAGTTGTTTTTTTTTTAAATCTAAACAAATATTTACTTTTTTTCCCACTGATTTCAATACTTTTTCTATATTCTGTATACGAGAAAGTAAAAAGAGACATTTGTCGGAAGAACTAAAAATGTATTGATGTTTTATTGTATTTTTAATTCTTACCTAAAGAAACGGTAAACATTATTAAAACATTTTTTTTCAAGCGCCACAAAAAAAAAAGATTAATTTATTATTTTAAAAAAATAGGTGTGGTCGAATGCTCGAGTGGTAGAGCGTTTGAAGGCTAGCATGAAGGTCTCGAGTTCAGATCTCGGTTCGGACACAATACTTCAAGACATCCCCGAGTCCACCCAGCTCTAATTGGTACCTGACACACATTAGGGAAACAACTCTACTTCCTCTACCCCATGTGTCTTGGACACAAACGGGAATCGATAATAGCACATAAGTAATGATTGTCAATTGTATTGCCGATCATTATTTGTATTGTATAGGTATTCTTTCAAAAATCACACAGAAAGGTAAAGTAAACAGAAAGGTAGCCTCAAAGTTAAAGTAAGACTTTCAAGTTTTCTGCATTTGTAAATTTTGTCTTGCAGATTTTACATGCTAATTGTTTAAAGCTTTAATATTAATACTTTTCAACCGGAGCAGACATTTTTGTCTGTTTTTTTTTAGTCTCTTTTTGTACACAGACTTGTTAAAATACGTAGATAAACACACAGGGCCGGTGCCACCTCTAAGGCGAACTAGGCGGTCGCCTAGGGCGCCATCCCTAAGGGGGGCGCAAAATGCAACCCCATCTCCCTAATTTGGAAAGGTCGGGGCGCTTTTTACCAGTCACTCTGCCTTTTAAATTTGGTGGCACATAATTGATGTAGAAAACGATTAAATAAGTTCGTAATATAAATTTCGAATATTTCAAACGGTTATTTAATTTTAATAAGGCTTGTAAGTCTCTTTTTCTCTGACTTTGAATTAGAAATCTGTCCTGGTGTACAGAGTTTTGTAATGACGGGGTGTTCAAAGTATTGTACTTGTTTGGTAAGTTTTGATGAATTGTTTAGATTTGGGAGTAGCGGCGGAAGGCTGTTGCTGATATGGTTTCGTAGATATAAAGTATCGAAGTGTTAGAGTGTCATAATTTTTATTCGGCTCTTTTGTAGTTGAAGGTCTAGTGGAATTTGATTGGTAATAGAGAAATGAGAATGCAGGTGATGACGTATCGTAGTTCTGGAGTTCGGGAGTATTGATTCTTGTGGTATTAAGGTATCGAATTACATTGACTGTTAAAGTGTAGTAGTAGGTCCAGTGAAATCGTTGTTCATTGGGAGTACCGTTTGTAGAGCTTGGTGAAGTTAAACGAGTTGGTGTCGTAGTTCTGGAGCATCGAGTCTAGTTATGTTTAGGTATCGAAGTTTGATATGTGTTGTGAATGTAGTAGAGTACACCGAGTAGTCGAGTTTATCGTAAGTTAGATGTTTTCAATTCAGTACGGAACACACTACAAAGAAAGGTAGGCGTTTTCTAATTGAAAAATCTTGTTTTTTTTTTTTAGGAATCTATATTACAACACCATTAATAAATACTACGAGCCGACACGCGACGTATCATACGCCGCTATTTAGGTGGTTTTTTTTTACTTTTCAGTAATTCATAATTTGTGAATTCGACAGTACTAATGCTGCCACTGAAAATATATTTGCTTTAAAACACTAAAACCCTCCTTTCCCCCCAACCCCCCCCCCCCTCCTCGTGAAAGCAGCCTCCTCTTAGTTAGCTACCCTAAGTTTAAAATATTTTCAAACTAAATTATCTGCCCCTAATAGCCGTCACTAAACCCGTCTCTACGCTTGTAAACATTTAGCGTGAACCACAGCTCACCAGACCATGTGGGTATGGGGGGGGGGGGGGGGGTAATAGAGATATGCCTAGAGAGGAAGGCGCGCTTACAGCCTGTTTTCTAGCGTCTCCCAGAAGAGAATTATATATATAGATTAAACAGGATGGAATTTATAACTAACCGTATACTTCGTTTTTCCACTTTATTTTTTTTTATATTTAATCAATAATTATAGCAATGTCTAAAACAGTTAACCGTGTTTGATTTTTGAGAAAGACGTCCCTAATTAGGGTAACCAAAATATGATGCAAATGTGACTATCAGTACACCGCAATTAAATGTATGTCATCAAAATTTAATAGAAGTATGTTATAATAAAGCTACCGTTTTTAGACTTTCAAACAAAACCTACAGTTAAGTATTCAATAGGTTTAATATATTGTTTTTACAGGTTTACATAGTTATTATAAAAAATTTATTATAATTATTAGGTAATGAAATTTACAGCGTTTTATTGTGTTTTTCAAACATGTCTTAGTTACACTTGATTAATTTAGCTATTCTTGTAAAAGTTATTTCCCTTGAATAAAATTTTGGTATTTGGATTTTCAAATAGGAGATAATAGGGCTGGTAAGTAGGTCACCAACCAGTTCTACGGCTCAACAAAAACTGCATGAGCCATAGAACTGGTTGATGACCTACTTACCAGCCCTATTCGTTGCTTAACTTTATATTCATTATATCAAATTCCTGCACCTTAGGTCGACCGCTAACATATAAATACAACTTTAAGTTATTATTTGCTATTTTTAAAATTATACAGAGCTTAAGTTCTAAACAAAATAGTTTGGTAGGTGTTTTTTGCATTATTGAGTTGAAAAACAAATAGGCCTACATCAGTAGCCGTCGTAGATTGCAATACTTAATGTTAGTAGACAAACAGTCTTTGTCGTAAATTAAACATCTAATTGTCTTTTCATATTTTTCCCCTCTCCTAAAGGTTTCATATATAACAATTTTAGGCTGGAATCTATCAAATTTATAACCTTTTATTTTTCAAAAACAAAAAAAAATCGTTACATAATCACACAATATAAACATTTTACAAGTATAACTAAAGACAGAAGGTTAAAACAGGTAAGTTCCGTTTTGGAACTCACCTTGGGAGGTCTGCAGTGAGCCCAACACTACAAGAAATTTTTTTTAGTGTTTTTTTTCCAGACTTTGGAGGGGGGGGGGGGAGCACTTAATATTTTCTAAATGGGGGGGGGGGGGCTATGTTGTAAAGTACAAAGTAGACTCGTGGAGTTAGCAACAATTTCAATAAAATGTAATTACGTTTACAAACTGGAATTGAAGGAATTAGTACTCACTTTTGAGACGAAGGAGGCAAGTAAAATTTAATTTTGATGTCTACGTATACCGTGTATGCAATTGATAATAAACTAATATGCCACTTTTAATTAATTTTCTTCTTATACATATGTCTTAGTAATTAATGTGTGTGAAGAAGGCGTTATAATAAGTTTTGCCTAGGGCGCTAAATAACCTGGCGCCCGGCACTGTAAACACAGCACACATTCACTTACACAACAAAAACATTCAGATGAATTATTAACACATTTTGTTTCTTTCTTTTTTAAAGTTTAATTTTTTTAAAAAATCAATTACAGATCAAAAAGAGAGAAAAGAAAAGACATGAACACATTAACAAGGAAACAAGTTCTCAACTGAGCCAAGTTTACAGTAGGATACAATTAGGTCTTGGCTAATTCCAACTTGGGTTAATGCCAGGTCTTGGCTAATTCCTACTTGGGTTAATGCCAGGTCTTGGCTAATTCCTACTTGGGTTAATGCCAGGTCTTGGCTGATTCCTACTTGGGTTAATGCCAGGTCTTGGCTGATTCCTACTTGGGTTAATGCCTGGTCTTGGCTAATTCCTACTTGGGTTAATGCCAGGTCTTGGCTAATTCCTACTTGGGTAGAGACCAAGAGTTGGGTAATTCCTATTTGGGCTAATTTCAGGAGTTGGCTAATTCCTATTTGGGCTAATTTCACGAGTTGGCTAATTCCTACTTGGTTCATGACCAGGAGTTGACTAATTCCTATTTGGGTTAATACCAGGTGTTGGCTAATTCCTATTAAGATTAAGACAATGTGTTGACTCATTCTTATTAGGGTCAAAACCGCAAGTTGGCTGGTTCCTACTTGGATTAAAATGACGCGTTCGTTGATTCCCGTTCCGATTAAGATTACACTCAATCCTAAATGGAGCATTGACTGGCCCATAAAGAGTTTATTTTAAAAATTTGATGTGGGTGGTTATTCGTCTTCCTCAGGTGGACGTCTATAAAGTTATTAAAGCAAAACAATTAAAAGATCTCATTAAGGAAAAAAATATTTCAAATCATTCATGTGTTTGTATTTAGTTCTGTATCAAGTGATTGTGTTGGGTCTACATAAAGAAATATAGGCTTTATAGGTCCAAGCCAGAGTTGTTGGCAGGCTAGTTTTGCAAGTTGACAGACTAGTTTTTATGTGGCGCAATGTGCCTGATCTTGCTCTATAAACGGTATGTGCTGTAGTCTATGAACTTACTCTATAACCATAGAATGGGCTACAACTTACTTTATAACGATATAATGGGCTACAGTCTATGAACTTACTCTATAACCATAGAATGGGCTACAACTTACTCTATAAAGATATAATGGGCTACAATCTATGAACTTACTCTATAAAGACAGAATGTGCTACAACTTACTCTATAACGATAGAATGGGCTACAACTTACTCTATAAAGATAGAATGGGCTACAGTCTATGAACTTACTCTATAACGATAGAATGGGATACAACTTACTCTATAAATATGGAATGGGCTACAGTCTATGAACTTACTCTATAAAGATAGAATGGGCTACAACTTACTCTATCACAATAAAATGGGATACAGTCTATAAACTTACTCTATAACGATAGAATGGGCTACAGTCTATGAACTTACTCTATAAAGATAGAATGGGCTACAACTTACTCTATAACGATAGAATGGGCTACAACTTACTCTATAACGATGGAATGGGCTACAACTTACTCTATAACGATAGAATGGGCTACAACTTACTCTATAACGATAGAATGGGCTACAACTTACTCTATAACAATGGAGTGGGCTACAGTCTATGAACTTACTCTATAACGATAGAATGGGCTACAACTTACTCTATAACGATAGAATGGGCTACAACTTACTCTATAACGATGGAATGGGCTACAACTTACTCTATAACGATAGAATGGGCTACAACTTACTCTATAACGATAGAATGGGCTACAACTTACTCTATAACAATGGAGTGGGCTACAGTCTATGAACTTACTCTATAACGATAGAATGGGCTACAACTTACTCTATAACGATAGAATGGGCTACAGTCTATGAACTTACTCTATAACGATAGAATGGGCTACAACTTACTCTATAACGATAGAATGGGCTACAACTTACTCTATAACGATAGAATGGGCTACAGTCTATAAACTTACTCTATAACGATGGAATGGGCTACAACTTACTCTATCACGATATAATGGGCTACAACTTACTCTATAACGATGGAATGGGCTACAGTCTATAAACTTACTCTATAACAATGGAATGGGCTACAACTTACTCTATAACGATGGAATGGGCTACAGTCTATAAACTTACTCTATAACGATAGAATGGGCTACAACTTACTCTATAACGATGGAATGGGCTACAGTCTATGAACTTACTCTATAACGATGGAATGGGCTACAACTTACTCTATAACAATAGAATGGGCTACAGTCTATAAACTTACTCTATAACGATGGAATGGGCTACAACTTACTCTATAACAATAGAATGGGCTACAGTCTATAAACTTACTCTATAACAATGGAATGGGCTACAACTTACTCTATAACGATAGAATGTTCCTCCTGCGTCTGTTTGATGGATTTCTTGTACAGCATGAGGTGGATGGTGATGTCAATCAACTGAACGATGACCATTAATGAGTAGCCGTTAGTGTACGGCAACAGCCAGTTATACAGTACCATGTAACAGCCTTCCTGTGGGAGGGGGGGGGGAGAAACGGTTCAATATAGCACTAGCCAACTGTACAGTACCATGTAACAGCCTTCCTGTGGGAGGGGGGGGGGGAGAAACGGTTCAATATAGCACTAGCCAACTGTACAGTACCATGTAACAGCCTTCCTGTGGGAGGGGGAGGGGAGAAACGGTTCAATATAGCACTAGCCAACTGTACAGTACCATGTAACAGCCTTCCTGTGGTGGGGGGGGGGAGAGAGAAACGGTTCAATATAGCACTAGCCAACTGTACAGTACCATGTAACAGCCTTCCTGTGGGAGGGGGGGGGAGAAACGGTTCAATATAGCACTAGCCAACTGTACAGTACCATGTAACAGCCTTCCTGTGGTGGGGGGGGAGAAACGGTTCAATATAGCACTAGCCAACTGTACAGTACCATGTAACAGCCTTCCTGTGGGAGGGGGGGGGGGGAGAAACGGTTCAATATAGCACTAGCCAACTGTACAGTACCATGTAACAGCCTTCCTGTGGGAGGGGGGGGGGGAGAAACGGTTCAATATAGCACTAGCCAACTGTACAGTACCATGTAACAGCCTTCCTGTGGTGGGGGGGGGGGGGGGGAGAGAGAGAAACGGTTCAATATAGCACTAGCCAACTGTACAGTACCATGTAACAGCCTTCCTGTGGGAGGGGGGGGGAGAAACGGTTCAATATAGCACTAGCCAACTATACAGTGCCATGTAACAGCCTTCCTGTGGTGGGGGGGGGGGAGAGAGAAACGGTTCAATATAGCACTAGCCAACTGTACAGTACCATGTAACAGCCTTCCTGTGGGAGGGGGGGAGAAACGGTTCAATATAGCACTAGCCAACTCTACAGTACCATGTAACAGCCTTTCTGTGGTGGGGGGGGGGAGAGAGAGAAACGGTTCAATATAGCACTAGCCAACTGTACAGTACCATGTAACAGCTTTCCTGTGGTGGGGGGGGGGGGGAGAGAGAGAAACGGTTCAATATAGCACTAGCCAACTGTACAGTACCATGTAACAGCCTTCCTGTGGTGGGGGGGGGGAGAGAGAAACGGTTCAATATAGCACTAGCCAACTGTACAGTACCATGTAACAGCCTTCCTGTGGGAGGGGGGGGAGAAACGGTTCAATATAGCACTAGCCAACTGTACAGTACCATGTAACAGCCTTCCTGTGGGAGGGGGGGAGGGGAGAGAGAGAAACGGTTCAATATAGCACTAGCCAACTGTACAGTACCATGTAACAGCCTTCCTGTGGGAGGAGGGGAGGGCCAGTTATACAGTATCATGTAACAGCCTTCCTGTGGTGGGGGGGGGGGAGAGAAACGGTTCAATATAGCACTAGCCAACTGTACAGTACCATGTAACAGCCTTCCTGTGGTGGGGGGGAGAGAGAGAAACGGTTCAATATAGCACTAGCCAACTGTACAGTACCATGTAACAGCTTTCCTGTGGGAGGGGGGGGGGGGAGAAACGGTTCAATATAGCACTAGCCAACTGTACAGTACCATGTAACAGCCTTTCTGTGGTGGGGGGGGAGAGAGAAACGGTTCAATATAGCACTAGCCAACTGTACAGTACCATGTAACAGCCTTCCTGTGGGAGGGGGGGGGAGAGAGAGAAACGGTTCAATATAGCACTAACCAACTGTACAGTACCATGTAACAGCCTTCCTGTGGTGGGGGGGGGGGGAGAGAGAAACGGTTCAATATAGCACTAGCCAACTGTACAGTACCATGTAACAGCCTTCCTGTGGGAGGGGGGGGGGAGAAACGGTTTAATATAGCACTAGCCAACTGTACAGTACCATGTAACAGCCTTCCTGTGGGAGGGGGGGGGGGGAGAAACGGTTCAATATAGCACTAGCCAACTGTACAGTACCATGTAACAGCCTTCCTGAGGTGGGGGGGGGGGGAGACAGAGAAACGGTTCAATATAGCACTAGCCAACTGTACAGTACCATGTAACAGCCTTCCTGTGGGAGGGGGGGGAGAAACGGTTCAATATAGCACTAGCCAACTGTACAGTACCATGTAACAGCCTTTCTGTGGGTGGGGGGGGGGAGAGAGAAACGGTTCAATATAGCACTAGCCAACTGTACAGTACCATGTAACAGCTTTCCTGTGGTGGGGGGGGGGGGGAGAGAGAGAAACGGTTCAATATAGCACTAGCCAACTGTACAGTACCATGTAACAGCCTTCCTGTGGGAGGGGGGGGGGGGAGAAACGGTTCAATATAGCACTAGCCAACTGTACAGTACCATGTAACAGCCTTCCTGAGGTGGGGGGGGGGGGGAGAGAGAGAAACGGTTCAATATAGCACTAGCCAACTGTACAGTACCATGTAACAGCCTTCCTGTGGGAGGGGGGGGGGGAGAAACGGTTCAATATAGCACTAGCCAACTCTACAGTACCATGTAACAGCCTTTCTGTGGGTGGGGGGGGGGAGAGAGAAACGGTTCAATATAGCACTAGCCAACTGTACAGTACCATGTAACAGCTTTCCTGTGGTGGGGGGGGGGGGGGAGAGAGAGAAACGGTTCAATATAGCACTAGCCAACTGTACAGTACCATGTAACAGCCTTCCTGTGGGAGGGGGGGGGGGAGAAACGGTTCAATATAGCACTAGCCAACTGTACAGTACCATGTAACAGCCTTCCTGTGGGAGGGGGGGGGGGAGAAACGGTTCACTATAGCACTAGCCAACTGTACAGTACCATGTAACAGCCTTCCTGTGGAAGGAGGGGAGGGCCAGTTATACAGTACCATGTAACAGCCTTCCTGTGGGAGGGGGGGGGGGGAGAAACGGTTCAATATAGCACTAGCCAACTGTACAGTACCATGTAACAGCCTTCCTGTGGTGGGGGGGGGGGAGAGAGAAACGGTTCAATATAGCACTAGCCAACTGTACAGTACCATGTAACAGCTTTCCTGTGGGAGGGGGGGGGGGGAGAGAGAGAAACGGTTCAATATAGCACTAGCCAACTGTACAGTACCATGTAACAGCCTTCCTGTGGTGGGGGGGGAGAGAGAAACGGTTCAATATAGCACTAGCCAACTGTACAGTACCATGTAACAGCCTTCCTGTGGGAGGGGGGGGGGGAGAAACGGTTCAATATAGCACTAGCCAACTGTACAGTACCATGTAACAGCCTTCCTGTGGGAGGGGGGGGGGGGAGAAACGGTTCAATATAGCACTAGCCAACTGTACAGTACCATGTAACAGCCTTCCTGTGGGAGGGGGGGAGAGAAACGGTTCAATATAGCACTAGCCAACTGTACAGTACCATGTAACAGCCTTCCTGTGGGAGGGGGGGGGGGGTGGGAGAAACGGTTCAATATAGCACTAGCCAACTGTACAGTACCATGTAACAGCCTTCCTGTGGGAGGGGGGGGGAGGAGAGAAACGGTTCAATATAGCACTAGCCAACTGTACAGTACCATGTAACAGCCTTCCTGTGGTGGGAGGGGGGGGGAGAGAAACGGTTCAATATAGCACTAGCCAACTGTACAGTACCATGTAACAGCTTTCTTGTGGGAGGAGGGAGAGAAACGGTTCAATATAGCACTAGCCAACTGTACAGTACCATGTAACAGCCTTCCTGTGGGAGGGGGGAGAAACGGTTCAATATAGCACTAGCCAACTGTACAGTACCATGTAACAGCCTTCCTGTGGGAGGGGGGGAGAAACGGTTCAATATAGCACTAGCCAACTGTACAGTACCATGTAACAGCTTTCTTGTGGGAGGGGGGAGAGAAACGGTTCAATATAGCACTAGCCAACTGTACAGTACCATGTAACAGCTTTCTTGTGGGAGGGGGGGAGAGAAACGGTTCAATATAGCACTAGCCAACTGTACAGTACCATGTAACAGCCTTCCTGTGGGAGGAGGGGAGGGCCAGTTATAACGTATCATGTAACAGCCTTCCTGTGGTGGGGGGGGGGGGGAGAGAAACGGTTCAATATAGCACTAGCCAACTGTACAGTACCATGTAACAGCCTTCCTGTGGGAGGGGGGGGGGGAGAGAGAGAAACGGTTCAATATAGCACTAGCCAACTGTACAGTACCATGTAACAGCCTTTCTGTGGTGGGGGGGGGGGGAGAGAGAAACGGTTCAATATAGCACTAGCCAACTGTACAGTACCATGTAACAGCCTTCCTGTGGGAGGGGGGGGGGGAGAAACGGTTCAATATAGCACTAGCCAACTGTACAGTACCATGTAACAGCCTTCCTGTGGTGGGGGGGGGGGAGAGAGAGAAACGGTTCAATATAGCACTAGCCAACTGTACAGTACCATGTAACAGCCTTCCTGTGGGAGGGGGGGAGAAACGGTTCAATATAGCACTAGCCAACTGTACAGTACCATGTAACAGCCTTTCTGTGGTGGGGGGGAGAGAGAAACGGTTCAATATAGCACTAGCCAACTGTACAGTACCATGTAACAGCCTTCCTGTGGTGGGGGGGAGAGAGAAACGGTTCAATATAGCACTAGCCAACTGTACAGTACCATGTAACAGCTTTCCTGTGGGAGGGGGGGGAGAAACGGTTCAATATAGCACTAGCCAACTGTACAGTACCATGTAACAGTCTTTCTGTGGTGGGGGGGGGGGGCAGAGAGAAACGGTTCAATATAGCACTAGCCAACTGTACAGTATCATGTAACAGCCTTCCTGTGGGAGGGGGGGGAGAAACGGTTCAATATAGCACTAGCCAACTGTACAGTACCATGTAACAGCCTTTCTGTGGTGGGGGGGAGAGAGAAACGGTTCAATATAGCACTAGCCAATTGTACAGTACCATGTAACAGCCTTCCTGTGGGAGGGGGGGGGGGGGAGAAACGGTTCAATATAGCACTAGCCAACTGCACAGTACCATGTAACAGCCTTCCTGTGGGAGGGGGGGGGAGAAACGGTTCAATATAGCACTAGCCAACTGTACAGTACCATGTAACAGCCTTCCTGTGGGAGGGGGGGGAGAAACAGTTCAATATAGCACTATCCAACTGTACAGTACCATGTAACAGCTTTCCTGTGGGAGGGGGGGGGGGAGAAACGGTTCAATATAGCACTAGCCAACTGTACAGTACCATGTAACAGCCTTTCTGTGGTGGGGGGGGGGAGAGAGAAACGGTTCAATATAGCACTAGCCAACTGTACAGTACCATGTAACAGCCTTCCTGTGGGAGGGGGGGGGGAGAAACGGTTCAATATAGCACTAGCCATCTGTACAGTACCATGTAACAGCCTTCCTGTGGTGGGGGGGGGGGGAAGAAATGGTTCAATATAGCACTAGCCAACTGTACAGTACCATGTAACAGCCTTCCTGTGGGAGGGGGGGGGAGAAACGGTTCAATATAGCACTAGCCAACTGTACAGTACCATGTAACAGCCTTCCTGTGGGAGGGGGGGGGAGAAACGGTTCAATATAGCACTAGCCAACTGTACAGTACCATGTAACAGCCTTCCTGTGGGAGGGGGGGAGAGAAACGGTTCAATATAGCACTAGCCAACTGTACAGTACCATGTAACAGCCTTCCTGTGGGAGGAGGGGAGGGCCAGTTATACAGTACCATGTAACAGCCTTCCTGTGGGAGGGGGGGGGAGAAACGGTTCAATATAGCACTAGCCAACTGTACAGTACCATGTAACAGCCTTCCTGTGGGAGGGGGGGGGGGGAGAAACGGTTCAATATAGCACTAGCCAACTGTACAGTACCATGTAACAGCCTTTCTGTGGGAGGGGGGGGAGAAACGGTTCAATATAGCACTAGCCAACTGTACAGTACCATGTAACAGCTTTCCTGTGGGAGGGGGGGGGGGGAGAAACGGTTCAATATAGCACTAGCCAACTGTACAGTACCATGTAACAGCTTTCTTGTGGGAGGGGGGGGAGAGAAACGGTTCAATATAGCACTAGCCAACTGTACAGTACCATGTAACAGCTTTCTTGTGGGAGGGGGGGAGAGAAACGGTTCAATATAGCACTAGCCAACTGTACAGTACCATGTAACAGCCTTTCTGTGGTGGGGGGGGGAGAAACGGTTCAATATAGCACTAGCCAACTGTACAGTACCATGTAACAGCCTTCCTGTGGGAGGGGGGGGAGAGAAACGGTTCAATATAGCACTAGCCAACTGTACAGTACCATGTAACAGCTTTCTTGTGGGAGGGGGGGAGAGAAACGGTTCAATATAGCACTAGCCAACTGTACAGTACCATGTAACAGCCTTTCTGTGGTGGGGGGGGGGGAGAGAAACGGTTCAATATAGCACTAGCCAACTGTACAGTACCATGTAACAGCCTTCCCGTGGGGGGGGGGGGGGGGAGAGAAATGGTTCAATATAGCACTAGCCAACTGTACAGTACCATGTAACAGCCTTCCCGTGGGGGGGGGGGAGAGAAATGGTTCAATATAGCACTAGCCAACTGTACAGTACCATGTTACAGCCTTCCTGTGGGAGGAGGGGGGGGGGGAGAGAAACGGTTCAATATAGCACTAGCCAACTGTACAGTACCATGTAACAGCCTTCCTGTGGGAGGGGGGGGGGAGAGAAACGGTTCAATATAGCACTAGCCAACTGTACAGTACCATGTAACAGCCTTCCTGTGGGAGGGGGGAGAGAAACGGTTCAATATAGCACTAGCCAACTGTACAGTACCATGTAACAGCCTTCCTGTGGGAGGGGGGGGGGGGAAACTGTTCAATATAGCACTAGTCAACTGTACAGTACCATGTAACAGCCTTCCTGTGGGAGGGGGGGGGGGGGAGAAACGGTTCACTATAGCACTAGCCAACTGTACGGTACCATGTAACAGCCTTCCTGTGGGAGGGGGGGGGGGGAGAAACGGTTCAATATAGCACTAGCCAACTGTACAGTACCATGTAACAGCTTTCCTGTGGGAGGGGGGGGGGGAGAAACGGTTCACTATAGCACTAGCCAACTGTACAGTACCATGTAACAGCTTTCCTGTGGGAGGGGGGGGGGGAGAAACGGTTCACTATAGCACTAGCCAACTGTACAGTACCATGTAACAGCCTTCCTGTGGGAGGGGGGGGGGAGAAACGGTTCAATATAGCACAAGCCAACTGTACAGTACCATGTTACAGCTTTCCTGTGGGAAGGGGGGGGGGAGAGAAACGGTTCAATATAGCCCTAGCCAACTGTACACTACCATGTAACAGCCTTCCTGTGGGTGAGGGGGGGGGGCGCGAGAGAGCCAGCTATACAGTACCATGTAACAGCGTTTCTGTTATTTACTTTAATTAATATTCAATTATATGATCTGATGGTAATAACTGTATACAATCATTTAAAATTTGGCCAAGATCTAATTCGGACTTTAGCCGGTTACCTTTAGCCAGTCCGCGGACTGGCTGGCCAAGTCCGAAATCAAAAAACTTTCGGACTTTAAACGGTCACTGAGAGGTGATAATGGGCAATGTGTGCATTGGCCGGCCAACGTCAGCATAGCTTAAAATTACGGTGGTTAATTACGGTTGCTGTAGTCATAGCAACCATCAAGTCTCTACGGTAACACTCACAGTATAAATTCCCTCCGAAGCCTCCGCGCACTCATGCACCTTCCTTAACCCTTCTTTAACGACCTCGCTCTTGCAACAGGTAGGCGGGACCTAAAATTAAATGTCAACAATCATTTTTACATTGATCTCAATGTCAACAATCATTTTTACATTGATCTCCATGTCAACAATCATTTTTACATTGATCTCAATGTCAACAATCATTTTTACATTGATCTCAATGTCAACAATCATTTTTACATTGATCTCAATTTGAACAATCATTTTTACTTTGATCTCAATCTCAACAATAATTTAAACATTGATCTCAGGGTCAGGTGGCCGTTTTAAATTGATTTTGTATTAGACCCGAGCTGTCATAAGTGCGAATTTATTAAAATCGATCTTTGATTAGAGTTGATTGGTTTATTAGAATTAAACTTTAATTAGTGTCAGTAATTGGTGTATTAGATTTGAACTTTGATTAGACCCAAAAAATGACCTCACGCTCTTTGACCCACAAAACTGACCTGACCCTGTTTGACCCACAAAACTTGCCTGAAGTTGTTTGACCCACAAAACTGACCTGATGTTGTTTGACCCACAAAACTGACCTGAAGTTGTTTGACCCACAAAACTGACCTGACCCTGTTTGACCCACAAAACTGACCTGAAGTTGTTTGACCCACAAAACTGACCTGAAGTTGTTTGACCCATAAAACTGACCTGAAGTTGTTTGACCCACAAAACTGACCTGAAGTTGTTTGACCCACAAAACTGACCTGAAGTTGTTTGACCCACAAAACTGACCTGAAGTTGTTTGACACATAAAACTGACCTGAAGTTGTTTGACCCACAAAACTGACCTGAACTTGTTTGACCCACAAAACTGACCTGAAGTTGTTTGACCCACAAAACTGACCTGAAGTTGTTTGACCCACAAAACCCACCTAAACTTGTTTGACCCACAAAACTGACCTGAAGTTGTTTGAGCCTCAAAACTGACCTGAAGTTGTTTGACCCACAAAACTGACCTGACCCTGTTTGACCCACAAAACTGACCTGAAGTTGTTTGACCCACAAAACTGACCTGAAGTTGTTTGACCCACAAAACTGACCTGAAGTTGTTTGACCCACAAAACTAACCTGAAGTTGTTTGACCCACAAAACTGACCTGAAGTTGTTTGACCCACAAAACTAACCTAAACTTGTTTGACCCACAAAACTGACCTGAACTTGTTTGACCCACAAAACTGACCTGAAGTTGTTTGATCCACAAAACTGACCTGAAGTTGTTTGACCCACAAAACTGACCTGAACCCGTTTGACCCACAAAACTGACCTGAAGTTGTTTGACCCACAAAACTGACCTGACCCTGTTTGACCCACAAAACTGACCTGACCCTGTTTGACCCACAAAACTGACCTGACCCTGTTTGACCCACAAAACTGACCTGAAGTTGCCTGACGACAGAGTTAGCGTCCCTCTGGATGTACCTTAGCGTCAGGGTCTGGTAGTCGTACTGGTCAATGATACCACAACACTGGCCCTGAGACAGGATGGTATCACTGAAGTCAACAGGATGGTATGACTGAAGCTATGTCAACAGGATGGTATGACTGAAGTCAACAGGATGGTATGACTGAAGTCAACAGGATGGTATGACAAGCTAAAAGTCAACAGGATGGTATAGCTGAAGCTAAGTCAACAGGATGGTATGACAAGCTAAAAGTCAACAGGATGGTATGACTGAAGCTAAGTCAACAGGATGGTATGACAAGCTAAAAGTCAACAGGATGGTTTGACTAAAGCTATGTCAACAGGATGGTATGACTGAATCTAAAAGTCAACAGGATGGTATGACTGAAGCTAAGTCAACAGGATGGTATGACTGAAGCTAAGTCAACAGGATGGTATGACTGAAGCTAAAAGTCAACAGGATGGTATGACAAGCTAAAAGTCAACAGGATAGTATGACAAGCTAGACGTCAACAGGATGGTATGACTGAAGCTAAAAGTCAACAGGGTGGTATGACTATAAGTCAACAGGGTGGTATGACTGAAGCTAAGTCAACAGGATGGTATGACTGTAGCTAAAAGTCAACAGGATGGTATGACTGAAGCTAAGTCAACAGGATGGTATGACTGAAGCTATGTCAACAGGATGGTATGACTGAAGTCAACAGGATGGTATGACTGAAGTCAACAGGATGGTATGACAAGCTAAAAGTCAACAGGATGGTATAGCTGAAGCTAAGTCAACAGGATGGTATGACAAGCTAAAAGTCAACAGGATGGTATGACTGAAGCTAAGTCAACAGGATGGTATGACAAGCTAAAAGTCAACAGGATGGTTTGACTAAAGCTATGTCAACAGGATGGTATGACTGAATCTAAAAGTCAACAGGATGGTATGACTGAAGCTAAGTCAACAGGATGGTATGACTGAAGCTAAGTCAACAGGATGGTATGACTGAAGCTAAAAGTCAACAGGATGGTATGACAAGCTAAAAGTCAACAGGATAGTATGACAAGCTAGACGTCAACAGGATGGTATGACTGAAGCTAAAAGTCAACAGGGTGGTATGACTATAAGTCAACAGGGTGGTATGACTGAAGCTAAGTCAACAGGATGGTATGACTGTAGCTAAAAGTCAACAGGATGGTATGACTGAAGCTAAGTCAACAGGATGGTATGACAAGCTAAAAGTCAACAGGATGGTATGACAAGCTAAAAGTCAACAGGATGGTATTACTGAAGCTAAGTCAACAGGATGGTATGACTGAACCTTAAAGTCAACAGGATGGTATGACTGAAGCTAAAAGTCAACAGGATGGTAGGACTAAAAGTTATCTATTAGTTGACAGGGTGGGAGTGACTCACACACAGCATCTAGCACTTGCATATATAAACACATACAGCACCTAGCACTTACATATATAAACACATTTAGCACCTAGCACACACACACACACACACACATATATATATATATATATATATATATATATATATATATATATATATATATATATATATATATATATATATATAAACACATACAACACCTGGAACGTACATATATAAACACATACCCTTTAGCACTTGCATATATAAACCCGTACAGCATTTATCAGCTCCACATATACAGAGCACTGTCGACTCACCCATATAGAGATGATGTCGTATGTGAGCACTGTCGACTCACCCATATAGAGATGATGTCGTATGTGAGCACTGTCGACTCACCCATATAGAGATGATGTCGTATGTGAGCACTGTCGACTCACCCATATAGAGATGATGTCGTATGTGAGCACTGTCGACTCACCCATATAGAGATGATGTCGTATGTGAGCACTGTCGACTCACCCATATAGAGATGATGTCGTATGTCAGCACTGTCGACTCACCCATATAGAGATGATGTCGTATGTGACTGAGAACACGGTGCTGTCGTCTATAGCGTACACATGACTGATTTTATCTTTCAGCGTTCTCTTCGACTCCTCGTTGATGTGCGAGAATGGTGCCATATAGATGTTGATGATGTTCACCTCAATCAGCACCACAAAGCCGGACACAAGAGCTACCAACGGCAGGGTGAAGGGGTTCCTAGGTTCGTCATGAAAGGACAGTCCATTTTTTAAATAAAATTATATTAACCGACCCACTCACCCCATCCAATTTTAACAAATATTTGTTGATCTTATATCACATCACTTTATGGTTAAAGAGACTTAACAAGAAAGTGTGAAAAAAGTGTATAGAATCTAACACTTACTTCACACAAGAACGTGTAAAAAAAAAGTGTATAGAATCTAACACTTACTTCACACAAGAACGTGTGTAAAAAAGTGTATAGAATCTAACACTTACTTCACACAAGAACGTGTGTAAAAAAGTGTATAGAATCTAACACTTACTTCACACAAGAACGTGTGTAAAAAAGTGTATAGAATCTAATACTTACTTCACACAAGAACGTGTGTAAAAAAGTGTATAGAATCTAACACTTACTTCACACAAGAACGTGTGTAAAAAAGTGTATAGAATCTAACACTTACTTCACACAAGAACGTGTGTAAAAAAAGTGTATAGAATCTAACACTTACTTCACACAAGAACGTGTGTAAAAAAGTGTATAGAATCTAACACTTACTTCACACAAGAACGTGTGTAAAAAAGTGTATAGAATCTAACACTTACTTCACACAAGAACGTGTGTAAAAAAAAGTGTATAGAATCTAACACTTACTTCACACAAGAAAGTGTGTAAAAAAAAGTGTATAGAATCTAACACTTACTTCACACAAGAAAGTGTGTAAAAACAGTGTATAGAATCTAACACTTACTTCACACAAGAACGTGTGTAAAAAAGTGTATAGAATTTAACACTTACTTCACACAAGAAAGTGTGTAAAAAAAGTGTATAGAATCTAACACTTACTTCACACAAGAACGTGTGTAAAAAAGTGTATAGAATCTAACACTTACTTCATACAAGAACGTGTAAAAAAAGTGTATAGAATCTAACACTTACTTCACACAAGAACGTGTGTAAAAAAGTGTATAGAATCTAACACTTACTTCACACAAGAACGTGTAAAAAAGTGTAATGAATCTAACACTTACTTCACACAAGAACGTGTGTAAAAAAGTGTATAGAATTTAACACTTACTTCACACAAGAACGTGTAAAAAAGTGTAATGAATCTAACACTTACTTCACACAAGAACGTGTGTAAAAAATAACACAAACTAACTTCTCACAAGAACATGTGTAAAATCCAACACCTACTTCTCACAATAACGTGTGTAAAATCTAGCACATACTTCTCACAAGAACGTGTGTAAAACCTAAAACTTACTTGTGCATTAGGTAACTCATATAGAGCACAGTGCACATGATGTACACGCCATTCAAGATTATCAGAGAGTTGCCGAGCATCTGCAAGAGACGGACAACTAGTCATCGAGGGTCAAAGTTCATAGGTTAAGTCAAGTCATCTGAAATATAACTGGGACGATCAGGGGCGTCTTTCTATGTCATGGCCGGTTGTGAGGTTATGTGGGAAGTTTAAAGATACGGTCAGGGGTGTGTCATGACCAGTGGAGAGGTTCAGTGGGAAGTTTAAAGATACGGTCAGGGGCGTGTCATGACCAGTGGAGAGGTTTAGTAGGAAGTTTAAAGATACGGTCGGGGGCGTGTCATGACCAGTTGAGAGGTTTAGTGGGAAGTTTGAAGATACGGTCAGGGGCGTGTCATGACCAGTGGAGAGGTTTAGTGGGAAGTTTAGGATCAGGGTAGCTTCCAATATAGGGAACATTCCTAAACATGAGCAATACCGGTAAGACTTTTAACAACGGCAAAAAATGTAAGTTCAATCAACAACAAATATACTTATAGGATTGCTGGACCACGACAATGCGGATTAGGATTAAGATTTAATCTTCCTAGAGCCCACCTGTACGATATCGCCAAACACCAACTCACGCGGCGCAGACTCGAAGCGCACAAACTGGCGGTAGTCTTCATAGCTGTCCAGTTTTTGGACGGAGCTGATCACAATGGAAGTGAAGTGGAATCTCAGGACGACGCCAACGATGAGCAAAAAAAAGCTCAACAACTGAGGCAAAAACAGGCAATAAGGATACAAGCAAAGCAACAGGCAATACGTATACAAGCAAAGCAACAGGCAATACGTATACAAGCAAAGCAACAGGCAATAAGGATACAAGCAAAGCAACAGGCAATACGTATACAAGCAAAGTAACAGGCAATGAGGATACAAGCAAAGCAACAGGCAATAAGGATACAAGCAAAGTAACAGGCAATAAGGATACAAGTAAAGCAACAGGCACCAGGGTTTAGCAAAATTATAAGGGTACCATTTGATACATTATGTCCATACCCGTTACCCAAACATCATAAGCATACGCTAAGACTATGCACCATATACCATACCTAAGCACCATAACCGTATACCACACCCAAACATCATAAGCATACACAAAAACTATGTACCATAACCATATACCATACCTAAACACCATAACCGTATACCACACCCAAACACCATATGCATACACTAAAACTATGCACCATAACCATATACCATACCTAAACACCATAACCGTATACCACACCCAAACATCATAGACATACACTAGAACTATGCACCATAACCATATACCATACCTAAACACCATAACTGTATACCACACCCAAACACCATAAGCATACAATAAAGCTATGCACCATAACCATATACCATACCTAAACACCTTAACTGTACACCACACCCAGACACTATAAGCATACACTAGAACTAAGCACCATAAGCATACACCATAACCATACACCATCACCTAAACACCATAACCATACACCATCACCTACCAACAGTGAAGTATGCCATGCTAGAAGAAAGTTATCTATCGTTTTCTTTGAAAGACAATCGTCGTCATCGCTATCCGCGTCGTTATCTTGGGAATATTAAAATTAATATTTATAAACGGAAGGAAAATATTTTTTTTTAAAATAATTCCTAATGGCCTCTAACAAAGACTTCTCTCCTTTAAGTCGACCAGCTGTGTGGAGAGAGGGTTCTTATAAATGGGTAACATCTGGTTCTTCTCAACTTACTGCCTAGGCTTTGTGCTTGGATTTCCATTGCGCAATCATCCAAAAGTCTATTAGCCTATGGAGCCTTCTTCTGTAACAAATCTACATGTCTCTAAGTCTAAGACCATATTATTTTTTTTAGGCGGCCCAAGTTCGATAGTTGTTATACTGTCTTTTTAATTAATCTCAAGCAAATAAAAAAGCAGCAGAGTTTTACAGTTAGATCAACCTTTTAAAGGATCTGTTTTCAATAGAGTAGTGGCAATAGATTTCAAACAACTTACACTACCTCTGTTCTTGTTCCTGTTTTTAAAGTAGTCTTTGTGGAAATCTGTTTTGTTTCGTGAAACCGTTCGATTCCTTCTTTTACAGTAGTCGCCATCCTTTAACCAGACTGGAATGTTTGCAGGCACATCCGGCACCAAAACACGTGGTTCATTGCCCCAAGATGGCGGAGTGGAGAACTGAACATCGTCGTCGTCGGTCCAGTGAACTAGTTCTATCAAGGTCTGCAACGGTTTGGGGTCGGGGTCCGTCAGGAGCTTCATGTCTGACCGTCTGTCACTCATAGCTGACAGTCTGTCAGTGAAGTCTGAACGTCTGTCCCTCAAGGATGACCGTCTGTCATACACGTCTAACCGTCTGTCCCACAAGGCTGACCGTCTGTCACTCAAGGATGACCGTCTGTCATACACGTCTAACCGTCCGTCCCACAAGGCTGACCGTCTGTCACTCAAATCTAACCGTCTGTCACTCACGGCTGACCGTCTGTCACTTAAGTCTGACCGTCTGTCCCTCAAGGATGACCGTCTGTCACTCATAGCTGACCGTCTGTCAGTGAAGTCTAACCGTCTGTCACTCAAGTATGACCGTCTGTCATACACGTCTGGCCGTCTGTCATAAAAGTCTGACCGTCTGTCACTGAAGCCTGACCGTCTGTCCTTGTATCTGAAAGAATCTCCAACGAATTCCCTGGAGTCCCCCACTGACGTAGAATTCCGCCGAGCGTTGATTTGAAATCTTCCCCGTACAAAACTGTCCCACTGTCGTGAGTCGCTGTGGGCAGGGACCTTACAAGGCCGTAAAGACCTATCTGTCTCCAGGTCTCTGTAGTCGGGGACCTTACAAGGCTGTAAAGACCTATCTGTCTCCAGGTCTCTGTAGTCAGGGACCTTACGAGGCCGTAAAGACCTATCTGTCTGCTTTTCGCTGTAGTCGAGGACCTTGCGAGAACGTGAAGACCTCTGTGTCTCCTGTCTGTGTTTACCCGCGGTACTCATCATTTGGTTTCGAAGCAAAACACAGCTGTAGTAAAAAAAAAAGTCCTTTTACTTTCACTTGAATTGTTACTTCACCATTAACCGTGTCCCACCTTTAAGACCCCCTGGTATGACAAAAATTAAAAAACAAACACCAAATACTATTTGTTTGTTTATATTTTTATCACAAAAAAATAACGTAGGTTATAACGTAGGTTTAATTAAAGTAAATAGAAATTTAGCCATAAAGCCTCCAGCTAAAAAAATTCTGAATTATTTTCAGGCTTAAGTTTTGTATTTTTTTTTTAAGAATGCTTTTTTTTAAAAGACGTTTATTATCCATGTCAACACAAACACAATAATGATGGAAGGATTCTCGTCAACTCTATGCATGTCCATTAGATCTAGATTCTAGATCTAGATCTAGATCTACCAGACGTTTAGAGAATAAAAATCCTAACAATTTTATTAATATCGGTGTTTTATGATAGCATACATGACATATTAATCAAGGCTATTTGATCATCTGATCTCTCTAACCCTAATCAATTTACCTAACTAAAACTATTTTGTGCTTTGTTTTTTCTCTCGACCTTCCAGTATCTAATCAATGTTTAGACTAATTAATTATATGAGAGCATGTGTTGATCAAGCGAATGGTTCAACAACACAGTTCAAACAGAAAACAGACACCACCTCTCATAGTGAACGCAATCGTGTGCGGATTTTCCCGATCAATCCACGGTGCGCATTGATATTGTGACCCTGTAGTCTACGGTGTCACGACAGAAAAGACACTTATTCTAAAGTTCCCGTGTACACTGAATAAAGACAGGCTACAAGATAGGTCCGACAAGCGAGATGGTACCAGTAATAATTTGCATGAGTTTTTAACTGACATTGTAAAACCATTTTTATTCTTATCTATAGTTGTTTTGAAGATAAAAAAAAATGTATGGTCGGTTAGCATTCTAAAGAAGATGATATACGAAATCTTGTTCACCGTGAGCTTTTCGTTATTTTATCTGTGTTAGGTTCGAATGAATGAGTCTTCTGCTCGATGTAAAATGGTGTCGCTGAGGTCACAGAGAACCTAAAAACTTGCTACACCTTGACGGGTTGACAAGAACGGGTTGATCTAGACGGGTTGACCAGATGGGGTTGGCTAGAACAGGTTTAGAAAGGGTTGGCCCGAAAGGGTTGGCCAAGACCAGTTGTATTAGTCGTGCTGTGTTTGTGTCATCCAACCCTGCCTTACAACGTCTAGGCCACACCCTCGGGCGCCTTAAAGATCAACCCCCCCCCCCCCCCATCCTCACCCATTTTGGCTTTTACGGAAGTCCAGACCTTCTGATCTGTGGCTATCTGGTGTCTGAGTGGTCGAGTGGTAGCCGTCAGATCTGCTCTCTGTACGTCATGGATTGAATCATTCAAATAGGGAAATGCTACGTGTACTATTTAAATACTTATTGCAAGTAATCCATCATTCCAGATAGCAAACAGAATCAGTTCAACATTTACCTTAAATAAAACAAGTCAGTTTTTATTTTTAGCATTTATTTTCATTTTTTAACCTGTTTTGTAAAACTAAAATGTCTGTCATTACATGCATTACAAAATACAAATTTAAAAAAAAAATATCCAGAAATGTGTTGTATTTAAATATAATCCTTAAAATGATTCCATCTTTGGCTTATACGAGATAAGTGATTTCAATTTTCCGCTCAGTGACAAATGTGTTTTTACTAAAACATTTCTATCGAATGATTATGAGGCGGAGAGTTCTAAAAGCGTTCTAGAAACTTCTATGTTGTTCAGGGGACTGTAGAGGGAGAATGCACATAGATAAGAGAGTATTCGGAGTCAAGTGACTAAAAGATGTTTTCGTAAAGTGGGTTTTGAGTAGGGCTAGGCTCCGATTGCTGAGGTATTTTTAAAAAGAAAAGCTGACGAAGGCCGACTGATATTTTCCAATATCAACCTACATTCACCCACTCACTTTTTTCGTAATGTGAGTAATCTTGAAAAAATATCAAACTTAAAAAAAAACAAATTATGTTAAGCCGTAAAGAGAACATAAAAATAAAAATTTCTAAATGCTTAATGTTTCCAGCGCTTGTAAGTACCGCCAAATTGAGAAATACAGCAATACAAACCCAAAACACATAGATTGAGACTAAGACCACTGCGGTGAGGTTAATTTCTAAAGTGTATTTTGTGAGTCCGTAGTCTTCTTTGTATAAACATGATATATATGTATAAACATGATATGTATGTATAAGTTAAGTTAACCTAGTTAATAGGTATGGTTGTAAATTACTAATGATATGTTTGTAAATCTGCGAAGGCGTGTTTGTAAATAACTAATGATATATTTTAAAAATATAAGTTGTTAGTGCAGATCGAAGGTGCGTTTGTAAATAACTACTGATACGTTTGTAAAATCTGCGTAGGATGTAGGCTTGTATGAAATCAGTAAAGCTAGCTGCATACAGTTGACCTGTCGTTGATAGTTGACTTGGTATGATATGACTTGGTATGACTTGACTTGGCATTACTTGACTTGGTATGACTTGACTTGGTATGATTTGACTTGGTATGATATGAATTGGTATGGCATGACTTGACTTGGTATGACTTGACTTGGTATGACTTGACTGATTTCTCACTGGCTTATATTTTCCTCCCTTCTATAGCTGCCCGCCCTGTTCAAAATGGCTGCTCGTCTGTGAGCTAAAGTGTGGTTCTCTCAAGATTTGGTTCAGGTTTTTTTGGCGTCCTTGAGATACTGGTCTGTGTATTTGTTGAGCACAGTTTCAAACATCTCGATTTGGCTGTCGAGAGAAATATGTCGCTCAGTAACGTAGAATATTAACGGTTATATGAGCACTACCCTCTAGAGGCACCTCCCGGGGTGGTGACTTGATAGAAAGACATTGTATCATCGAATCTGTGCCCCCCCCCCCCCCAAGACAATCCCCCACCCCAAGCAAAGAAATCCTAACCCAAGATAACTACGTCGCCCCCCTCCCGCCCCAAGTAAAGAAATCCTATCCCAGGATTACTTCCCTTCCCCCCAAACACCCCGAGCAAAAAAATTCTACCCCAGGATCACTTACCCACCCCCCACATACAACCCCCCACCCCCACCCAAGCAAAAAATCCTACCCCAGGATCACTTACCCCCCCCCCCCACCCCCAGAAAAGAAATCCTACCCCAGGATCAAATACCCCCCTACACACACCCCCAGTAAAGAAATCCTACCCCAGGCTCAAATACCTCCCACCCCCAATAAAGAAATCCTACCCCAGGATCAAATACCCCCCACCCCCAGTAAAGAAATCCTACCCCAGGATCAAACCCCCCCCCCCCCCTTCACCCCAGCAAAGAAATCCTACCCCAGGATCAAATACCCCCACCCCCAGTAAAGAAATCCTACCCCAGGATCAAATACCCCCCACCCCCAGCAAAGAAATCCTACCCCGGGATCACTTACCCCCCCCATACACCCCCCACCCCAAGCAAAGAAATCCTACCCCGGGATCACTTACCCCCCCCATACACCCCCACCCCAAGCAAAGAAATCCTACCCCAGGATCACTTACCCCCCCCCCCCCATACACCCCCACCCCAAGCAAAGAAATCCTACCCCAGGATCACTTACCCCCCCCCCATACACCCCCACCCCAAGCAAAGAAATCCTACCCCAGGATCACTTACCCCCCCCATACACCCCCACCCCAAGCAAAGAAATCCTACCCCGGGATCACTTACCCCCCCCATACACCCCCCACCCCAAGCAAAGAAATCCTACCCCAGGATCACTTACCCCCCCATACACCCCCCACCCCAAGCAAAGAAATCCTACCCCAGGATCACTTACCCCCCCCCATACACCCCCACCCCAAGCAAAGAAATCCTACCCCAGGATCACTTACCCCCCCCCCCATACACCCCCACCCCAAGCAAAGAAATCCTACCCCAGGATCACTTACCCCCCCATACACCCCCCACCCCAAGCAAAGAAATCCTACCCCAGGATCACTTACCCCCCCATACACCCCCCACCCCAAGCAAAAAATCCTACCCCAGGATCACTTACCCCCCCCCCCCCCATACACCCCCACCCCAAGCAAAGAAATCCTACCCCAGGATCACTTACCCCCCCATACACCCCCCACCCCAAGCAAAGAAATCCTACCCCAGGATCACTTACCCCCCCATACACCCCCCACCCCAAGCAAAAAATCCTACCCCGGGATCACTTACCCCCCCCCCATACACCCCCACCCCAAGCAAAGAAATCCTACCCCGGGATCACTTACCCCCCCATACACCCCCCACCCCAAGCAAAAAATCCTACCCCGGGATCACTTACCCCCCCCATACACCCCCACCCCAAGCAAAGAAATCCTACCCCAGGATCACTTACCCCCCCCCCATACACCCCCACCCCAAGCAAAGAAATCCTACCCCAGGATCACTTACCCCCCCATACACCCCCCACCCCAAGCAAAGAAATCCTACCCCAGGATCACTTACCCCCCCATACACCCCCCACCCCAAGCAAAAAATCCTACCCCGGGATCACTTACCCCCCCCCATACACCCCCACCCCAAGCAAAGAAATCCTACCCCGGGATCACTTACCCCCCCATACACCCCCCACCCCAAGCAAAAAATCCTACCCCGGGATCACTTACCCCCCCCATACACCCCCACCCCAAGCAAAGAAATCCTACCCCAGGATCACTTACCCCCCCCCCCATACACCCCCACCCCAAGCAAAGAAATCCTACCCCGGGATCACTTACCCCCCCCATACACCCCCCACCCCAAGCAAAAAATCCTACCCCAGGATCACTTCATTGGCGTCCTCAAGTGCCGAGATGTACTTCTTGTAGAGCGTCAGATGGATGAACATGTCTATAAGCTGCAGCACGACCACGATTGAGTACTTGTTCGAGTACTCACGGAGCCAGTCGTACAACACAACGTAGCACCCTTTCTGTGGGGAGGGGGAGGGGAAAGGTTGAACACGTTTTTAAAAAACAACGTAGTACCCTTTCTGTGGGGGGAGGGGGAGGGGAAAGGTTGAACAAGTATTTAAAAAACAACGTAGTACCCTTTCTGTGGGGAGGGGGAGGGGAAAGGTTGAACACGTTTTTAAAAAACAACGTAGTACCCTTTCTGTGGGGGAGGGGGAGGGGAAAGGTTGAACAAGTATTTAAAAAACAACGTAGCACCCTTTCTGTGGGGAGGGGGAGGGGAAAGGTTGAACACGTTTTTAAAAAACAACGTAGTACCCTTTCTGTGGGGGAGGGGGAGGGGAAAGGTTGAACAAGTATTTAAAAAACAACGTAGCACCCTTTCTGTGGGGAGGGGGAGGGGAAAGGTTGAACACGTTTTTAAAAAACAACGTAGTACCCTTTCTGTGGGGGAGGGGGAGGGGAAAGGTTGAACAAGTATTTAGAAAATAACGTAACACCCTTTCTGTGGGGAGGGGGAGGGGAGAGGTTGAACAAGTATTTAGAAAATAACGTAACACCCTTTCTGTGGGGGAGGGGGAGGGGAAAGTTGAGGAAATATTTAAACAGAATTAATAGGGAATGGAACGGCATTGTTGGATGGTAGACAAACCCACTAGCCAACCACACACTAATCACCTCTATCCAAATGACAACCACCAATCAACACCCATACACCAACCACATACCAACCAACCACCAACACCCACACAGCACCCACATATCAACCACATACCAAACACCAACCAACACCCTCCAACACCCACCACCCACCTATATAGATGTATAGATATGATCCCCTGTCTCAGCACACTGATAGACGTTTGTCACCACCCCCCCCCCCCCACCACTACCCACCACATACCCACCACATACCCACACCACCCACCACCCCCACCACCCCCACCACCCCCACCACCCCCCACCCACCCACCCACCATCCACCAACCACCCACCCCCCACCTCTCCACCTCCCCACCACCACCCACCTCCCCACCCCCACCTACCGTATAAATATGATCCCCTGTCTCAGCACACTGATAGACGTTAGTCACCGACCTCTGGAACACGTCCCTCCGGCAGCAGGTGGGCGGGACCTGGCAGACGACAAGTTTTAATCACGTGGTTCTAGAGCCACGAGCCTACATGATTGTATCACCCTGACCGGACGTTAGGTATTACTTAAAGTGATGGGTCCAGCATGTCACCATGCCCTAAAGTTACAAGTCTCTAATGGATCTAGCATGTCACCCTGACCTAAAGTTACAAGTCTCTAATGGTTCAAGCATGTCACCCTGACCTAAGGTTACAAGTCTCTAATGGATCTAGCATGTCACCCTGACCTAAAGTTACAACTCTCTAATGGATCTAGCCGGTCACCCTGACCTAAAGTTACAAGTCTCTTATGGTTCTAGCATGTCACCCTGACCTAAAGTTACAAGTCTCTTATGGTTCTAGCATGTCACCCTGACCTAAAGTTACAACTCTCTAATGGTTCTAGCATGTCACCCTGACCTAAAGTTACAACTCTCTAATGGATCTAGCCGGTCACCCTGACCTAAAGTTACATAATTCTAATGGCAACTTTTTCGGGTTTGTATTAGCCATGACCTGTGAAAAGCTCGGTTCCTTGTATCACAAATATTGCTCGCATCTCTTTTAACAGTGTCCGCCCCCCCCCCCCCCCCCGCCGACAAAAGTCTACCCCCCCCCCCCCCGAAAATTTCAAGTGCCCCCCCCCCCCCCCGGAGAAAAAAGTCTGGAAGAAACACTGACTGCTCGTAACTCAAAGCAAAATCGTTTGACTGTATATCGAGGTACCACTATATTGAGTGCCATTAAGATGTCTCTGCCTTACCTGATAGGTTTTGATTTTAGCCGAGGGCTGCATGTATCGGAGTCCTGACGTCGGAAAGTCGTACTGGTCGTTGATGCCACAACACTCGCCCTGTGGTCAAACATAGGCGTCAGAAAGTGTGTGTGTGCGGTGGAAGAGAGTGAGTCGAAAGTGTAAGACGCTTTATGGTGGAAGAGAGTGAGTCGAGTGTGTGTGTGTGTGTGACTCTTTATGGTGGAAGAGAGTCAAGTGTGTGTGTGACGCTTTATGGTGGAAGAGAGTGAGTTGAGTGTGTGTGTGTGTGTGTGTGTGACTCTTTATGGTGGAAGAGAGTCAAGTGTGTGTGTGACTCTTTATGGTGGAAGAGAGTGAATTGAGTGTGTGTGTGTGTGTGTGACTTTTTATGGTGGAAGAGAGTCAAGTGCGTGTGACTCTTTATGGTGGAAGAGAGTGAATTGAGTGTGTGTGTGTGTGTGACTCTTTATGGTGTAAGAGAGTGAATCGAGTGTGTGTGTGACGCTTTATGGTGGAAGAGAGTCAAATGTGTGTAACGATTTATGAGAGAGAGTCGAGTTTGGCAACCCTATCCCCTCCCCCAAAACTACGACGTTACCAATTGTATTCAGCGTTATAGATTAAACCAGTAAATACAATCGGATATTAATTATATATATATAGAATATATATATATATATATATATATATATATATATATATATATATATATATATATATATATATATATATATATATATATATATATGGTGACAGGACAAATGATCTCAGGACAAATGATCTCAGACAAAATATCTCAGACAAAATTTCTCACGGACAAATGATCTCAAGACAAATGATCTCAGGACAAATGATCTCAAGGACAAATGATCTCACGGACTAAAGATACCAGGACAAAATATATCAAAACAAATGATACCACGGACAATTGATCTCAGACAAAATATCTCAGACAAAATATCTCACACCTAAATTTTAATAGTGTATTGGGTGATTTTAATTAATCTGATTTTTTGTTGTTGACTGTCTTATGGTTTTGTTTACTATGTTTAATATTGTTTATAGGCCTATATAATAATTGTAAGAAATGTTTGCCGTATAAATTTGCCATATTGCACTAAACATTTTAAGGTTAGTATTAGTAATATAGTATTCCAAGATTAAAGAAATAATTTCGAAAGATAGCGTAGGTGTGCTTGACAAACGTGGGACAATCCTACCACGTCAGGTGGACGAAACAAGATCAAAGGGAATGAAATAAAGACACTCCTTCGTATCAAGGTGGTCACCCGCTTTGATGGCAGAGACATGTCCTCCATGGACAATACAACTAGCATATACAGTCCATTGTTATGCGTCGGTTACACCTTAGTGATCAGGTGACTAATGCTTATTTAAACGACAGCGGTCATCGCGGAGCTAAGTATGTCGTAGTGTGCATCAAACAAAGCAGTATTAATGGTGATTGCTTTGCTATGATCTCTTTCGTTACCTCGCAGAAAGGTATTAGGACATTAGTTTCTGGTGAATTTATGTTTGCCATAAGCAGGCAAAGAGATTTGGAAATGGGAAGTTAGGACATGTCGAGCAAGAGTTCACACAAAAGATGATCACATAGTATTGAAGAGGTGTGATCATAACGATATACCTACCAGAAAAGAAACTTACACGATATGTATGTGTTGATGATGTAATAAAAACAATAGTTTAACGTTACGAACCTTCAGACCCATTCACATTTTTGAAAGATATTTCGCGTGATATGAACATTAATGTTGTATAGCTACCGTTACTTTATTTGTTTTTTACATTATCATTTATTATACCTTTCAGGATAAAACAGTAAGTTTGTTTTAATTTTTACTTTTTCAAATCAAATGCTACTACAATTGCTTAATACACCTTTTGATGGTTTGTTAGGTTTCACTAATTCATTTTATTCACAATTATCATACGTAAACAAAGTAAACAAAACCATATTAACGGTCAATAAAAAAAGTTCAACTAAAATCATCGTAAATACTATTAAAATTTCGCTGTGAGATATTTTGTCTGAGATATTTTGTCTGAGATCATTTGTCCATGATATCATTTGTCCTGATATATTTTGTCCTGGTATCTTTTGTCCGTGAGATCATTTGTCCTTGAGATCATTTGTCCTGAGATCATTTGTCCTGAGATCATTTGTCCGTGAGATATTTTGTCTGAGATATTTTGTCTGAGATCATTTGTCCTGAGATCATTTGTCATGGAACCATATATATATATATATATATATATATATATATATATATATATATGTGTGTGTGTGTGTGTGTGTGTGTGTGTGTGTGTAAAAATTTTGAAAATTTATATTATAAACCTGAAGTCTAGCACGAAACATTCCTATAGAGATCTAGTCATTGTTCTAAAGTCGCTAGTCGTAATTTTCTCTAGGAAATTCGTTGGTGTCCACAGGTACAAATTAACTTGACTGAAAAAGTTCATTAACGTTCAACAATTACAGGTCTCGCCATGGTAATTGGTCACTTTAAGCTCTGGGGTTTATTCTTGCTGATCTGGAAGATTTTTAACTTGTGTAAAACGTTGTTAAAGTATAGGTACAGAAGGTTGGCAGCTAACACTAGGCTTGAAGCGATAGATTTTTTGTCAACATCAGCAGTTCCGTCCAATGTCATTCGGGGCAGTTTTTAGTCGGGCAATCGGCAAGGTTCCTTTTATTTGTAAAAAGTCGATGACAATCTAGATAGTGGGCATCGATCCGACTGCTTCAACGATATTGGGTAAAAGGTAAATACGAATCCATCACTTTTAAGTACGTGGTAGTCGGGGTTAGCCTCGAGGTATCGAAATGAAATCGAAAAAGAGGCTGGACGGAGGTCAGGAGAGGGTCAAATCTATGGAGGCATGACGTTCTCTACAGTTAAGAGCCAGATGTTGCCCTTGTATCAGCCCCGCCCCTTCTCTCCACACAGCTGATGGACCCAAGGGACAGGACGTTACCTGTACAACCCGGAATCATCGCCAGGTGTTCGTGACCATGGCGACCCACCTAGATGGAGGCTTCCGGCTGTGGTCAGGCATGGGGAGGGGTGGGTGACGCCATGGGACACGTAGCCCTAGACACCCCAACGACCCCAATATGTGTTAAAGGATTATATATACATATATATATATATATATATATATATATATATATATATATATATATATATATATATATATATATATATATATATATATATATATATATATATATATATATATATATATATATATATATATATATATATATATATATATATATATATATATATATATATATATATATATATATATATATATATATATATATATATATATATATGTATATATGTATATATGTATATATGTATATGTGTATATATACATATATATATATATATATGTGTGTATATATATATATATATATATATATATATATATATATATATATATATATATATATATATATATATATATATATATATATATCTTAGAAAGTACTGACCCAGATGGATATGATGTCGTAGGTCAGGGAGAAGACCGTACTGTCGTCTATTGTGTAATTGTTCATCAACTTTCTCTTCAGATAGGACACGGCCTTCTCGTTGGCGAAGGAGTCGGGCGACATGTACACGTTGATGACGTTCACTTCGGTCAAGATGACCGCCCCTGACACCAGACCCACCAGGGGGAGGGTGAACGGGTTTCTGGGGAGGGGGGATAGGTATAGCAACAAATGTCAAAGTCTGTGTTCCGATATTAGATGCCCGTGAGTTCTAGACAATTTTAACCTAACCGCCAAATGACCCGTAACTATTGATACCCTAACCTTGACCTTTGAAGCTAACCCTGATCCCTGATCATAGCAAACTTTAGTTCAAGCTTGACCCCTAACTAAAATCCTGACCTGAAACCTGACTGTAACACATTCAAAATAACTACAAATCCTACCCCCTTCACGCAAAAAAAAAACCTGTTTAATGTTCATAAAATGTAAAATAAAATATTTTCAACTGAAGAAAAATATAAATAATTTAAAGATATATTCATGCGGTTAAATTTTTTAAAAATATGGGCCATAGAATAAATAATAAAATAATAAAATGTGCACATTTAAAATTCTGACGCTGTTCTAAATAATCCTTTTTTTAAAGTAGCTGTTGCCGACATATTGTTGCAGTATTACAACAAGTGAAAGACTGTAATGGCCGTTCTAGGTCTTACATTGTCTTATGTCAAACTTACGCTAGTTCAATGTTAGAGTTACATGTAGCAGTTATCTGAGTACTATTTGTGCCCAATACACATGGGGCAGATGAAGTAGAATTTATGTGTTTTTAAGACCTCGGCATATGAAGGAATAGTGTGGTCAGCATTATGCCTAGCCGTCTTTGCTGTCCCTAACGAGTTAGGTACCCATAACAACTGGGTGGGCTCAGGGATGTTCTATTGACTTGAACTCGGATTTGAACTCGAGACTTTCAGGTTAGCAGCTAGCGCTCTACCGCTAGACCACACTGTCCCCGGTTGAGGTTTTGCTTATTCAAACTATATCTTTATAAACTTTTTACGCCAGTTCATTAAAACAGTTTATTTAGAGATTTGCCCTACCTGTGTATTAAAACAGTTTGTTTAGAGATTTGCCTTACCTGTGTATTAAAACAGTTTGTTTAGAGAGTTCACTTACCTGTGTATCAAAAAGCTCATATACATCACGATGCACATAATGTAGGCAGCGTTTAGAATAATCAAAGAGTTCCCCAGCATCTGTAAGAACAGTCGTTATTTTCTTATTTACTTTACTAGAATGTTAGCTAAGAAAAGTAGTTATATGTTTTTTACGTCATTAGAGCGTCAGCTTCTTCTTTTTCGTCGTTCTTAAATTTAGTGTTGGAATGGAATCCCCTCCAACACAATTAAGTATAACGTGTCAACTGGTTATGCGCCATTGAGGCCGTTGACTCCGATTTCAGCCTGCTTTTCTTTTTGGATTTGCTTCCATAGCCTTTGTCCAACCAAGGACAAACTACAAGGCAGCAGTTGTTTGATTTTGGAGTTGTCTCTCCTAGGGGATTTGCTGTCCCCAACTAACGAGCCTCATCTGCCCGAGGGTTCGACCTTACGGAGACTACACCAAACCTGCGGATAACCTTACCGTGACCAGATCACCGAAATAGAGGTCCTGTGGGGCGAGGTCAAATCTGACAAAGTTGGCGTACTGTTCGTATGTTGGCAGGTTCTTTAGGGACGACATGACGAGGTTAGTGAAGAAAAATCGTAGGACAATCCCCACAGACAGCAGGCTAAAGCACACGATCTGTAAGGAAAGTGTTTAGAGCAGTAGGCTAAAGCACACGATCTGTAAGGGAAATGTTTAGGGCAGCAGGCTAAAGCACACGATCTGTAAGGGAAATGTTTAGGGCAGCAGGCTAAAGCACACAATCTGTAAGGAAAATGTTTAGGGCAGCAGGCTAAAGCACACGATCTGTAAGAAAAATGTTTAGGGCAGCAGGCTAAAGCACACGATCTGTAAGGGAAATGTTTAGGGCAGCAGGCTAAAGCACACGATCTGTAAGGAAAGTGTTTAGGGCAGCAGGCTAAAGCACTCATATAGGGCAGCAGGCTAAAGCACACATATAGGACTGCAGGCAAAATGCATATCATGCCACATGCCCCCCCCCCTTCATCACATCCAAATGTCTGACGTCGTCACCAACTGGCCCTCCCGACCCCACCCCCCCCCCCCCACCCCCCACGGCTCTAGATTTATCAACGCATTACTAACAATGCCCCTTAGCCTAGATGTGTGAAGACATTACTAGCAATTCAGCTGCCTCGAACCCCCCCCCCCCCACTGACCCCAAATATCTGACGTCATCAACAGTGCGTCATGCCCCGACTCCCAACCCCCCCCCCCTCCCATGTGTGACGTCATTACCAGCAGTGCAGCGTGCCAGACGAAGAGCATCCTGTCCAGCATCAGGCCCTCATCCTCCTCCTCTTTCTTGACCTCTCGACCTTTCTTGGGCTCCTCGGCCTTGTCATCTTCCCCTTCCTCTTCTTCTTCTTCGTCCTCTTCCTCTTCTTCGTCAGTGTGCTGTTCATCCTCAGTAAGATCTTCACCCTCTAGAACCGGTAAAAATGTCCTCATCAACATAGACACCCTCTAGAAACGGTAAAAATGTCCTCATCAACATAGACACCCTCTAGAAACGGTAAAAATGTCCTCATCAACATAGACACCCTCTAGAACCGGTAAAAATGTCCTCATCAACATAGACACGCTCTAGAAACGGTAAAAATGTCCTCATCAACATAGACACCCTCTAGAAACGGTAAAAATGTCCTCATTAACATAGACACCCTCTAGAAAAGTTAAAATGTCCACATCAACATAGACACCCTCTAGAAAAGTTAAAATGTCCACATCAACATAGACACCCTCTAGAAAAGTTAAAATGTCCACATCAACATAGACACCCTCTAGAAAAGTTAAAATGTCCACATCAACATAGACACCCTCTAGAAAAGTTAAAAATGTCCTCATCAACATAGACACCCTTTAGAAAAGTTAAAAATGTCCTCATCAACATAGACACCCTCTAGAAAAGTTAAAAATGTCCTCATCAACATAGACACCCCCTAGAAACGGTAAAAATGTCCTCATCAACATAGACACCCTCTAGAAAAGTTAAAAATGTCCTCATCAACATAGACACCCTTTAGAAAAGTTAAAAATGTCCTCATCAACATAGACACCCTCTAGAAAAGTTAAAAATGTCCTCATCAACATAGACACCCTTTAGAAAAGTTAAAAATGTCCTCATCAACATAGACACCCTCTAGAAAAGTTAAAAATGTCCTCATCAACATAGACACCCTCTAGAAAAGTTAAAAATGTCCTCATCAACATAGACACCCTCTAGAAACGGTAAAAATGTCCTCATTAACATAGACACCCTCTAGAAAAGTTAAAAATGTCCTCATCAACATAGACACCCTCTAGAAAAGTTAAAAATGTCCTCATTAACATAGACACCCTCTAGAAAAGTTAAAAATGTCCTCATTAACATAGACACCCTCTAGAAAAGTTAAAAATGTCCTCATTAACATAGACACCCTCTAGAAACGGTAAAAATGTCCTCATCAACATAGACACCCTCTAGAAAAGTTTAAAATGTCCTCATTAACATAGACACCCTCTAGAAACGGTAAAAATGTCCTCATTAACATAGACACCCTCTAGAAAAGTTAAAAATGTCCTCATTAACATAGACACCCTCTAGAAACGGTAAAAATGTCCTCATCAACATAGACACCCTCTAGAAAAGTTTAAAATGTCCTCATTAACATAGACACCCTCTAGAAACGGTAAAAAATGTCCTTATCAACATAGACACGCTCTAGAAAAGTTAAAAATGTCCTCATTAACATAGACACCCTCTAGAACCGTTAAAAATGTCCTCATCAACATAGACACCCTCTAGAAAAGTTAAAAATGTCCTCATCAACATAGACACCCTCTAGAAAAGTTAAAAATGTCCTCATTAACATAGACACCCTCTAGAACCGTTAAAAATGTCCTCATCAACATAGACACCCTAGGAGAGACAACTCCAAAATGAAACAACTGCTGCCTTGTAGTTTGCTCTTGGTTGGACAAAGCCTATGGAAGCAAATCCAAAAAGAAAAGCAGGCTGAAATCGGAGTCAACGGCTTATATGGCGCATAACTTGTTGACACGCTATACTTAATTATGTTGGAGGGAATCCCTTCAAACACTGAGAAATAAGAACGAAGAAGAAGAAAAAAAAAAGAAGACCTTACATTAAAATGGTAGTCGCATAGAAAATTGCAGTCACACACCTAAACAGTGTTTCTTCCAGACTTTTTTCTCCGGGGGGGGGGGGGCACTTGAAATTTTCGGGTGGGGGCTGTATACTTTGTTCGGAGGGGAGGCGAAGACTGTTAAATATATATATTTATATTTTCTATATAAATTTCATTTCGTTCGGGGGGGGGGGGGGGCTCGCTAGATTTTCTTATGGGGGGGGGGGGGGGGGGAATCCGCCCACTCCCCCCCCCCTCCCCGAAAAGATGCCTGGAAGAAACTCTGCACCAAAATGTAGTCCCGCAGAGAATGACAGAAGAGGAATCTTACCTTGATCGCTGTTATTATTTGTGTTGTTAGTCAGCAATCGCTCTCTGTACAACCAGCACCTGTCTTCACACAAGACTCTATAGAACAACCAGCACCTGTCTTCACACGAGACTCCTCTGTGGTACCACAATGTGTTCATCAGTCTCGCGATTTCTGGCATTTGAATGATGTCACTTAACACGTGTACTATGTCATGTGACGTCTCTCTTGGGTGATACGAAATGACGTCATTGAACGTGTGTACTGCGAGATACGGTGTGTACCCTGGGTAGCTGGAGACACATCCCATATCAACAGACACATCCTCTCTACCATCCAACACATCAGCTTCACCATTTCCAATGTGTCTCTTGCCGAACAAAAACGAAGTCTTTGCAGGTCTAGCAATACCAAAAACCGTCCCTGTTGTCGTAAAGTGTGGGTTGTCGCTGTCGTACACGGTCAAACAGATGGAATTGTCCAGTGGTCGTCTGAAATGGTCGCTAAAGATCTGGTCGTTGGGAGAGACTTTCTGACGACGCTCGCTGGAAGTTTTCCCACGCGGTCTCCGGACGATCGCCCATCTAGCAGAGCTCACGTCTTTGTCCGTGTGACGCATGGCCAAGGTGAAGGTCGGACAGCCTGATGACGTCATCACAGTGGGTTTTACCGCCAACTTTTTCAGCAACTTTTTTTTTGGGGGGACTGTCTGAAAGTGTTTTTAGTAGCAAATTAATATGTCAATTTGAGTGGATTTGTTACGATTTTATTGTAAGGATTTTGATTCATAGACTTGCTTGGGTATTAATGTATTGATCCTTACTTATTAGTTGTAGCTAAATCTCGTCGATATTGATAGTGTAGACCTAGGGTTGGGTTTTATTTAGTGTTTGGGTTAGGGTTACAACGAGTTTCTGGTTTAAGTTAAGGTTAGAATTAGCTGCGATACTGACTATATACTGACGCGTGTACTGTTGTTTGACTCGTAAAAAAGGTATTAGATAAATTAGCTGCGGTACTGACAATAGGAATATGTGTGCATGGTTAGTTGACTCGCAACATAGCACTAGATGAATTAGCTGCGGTACTGACAATAGGAATATGTGTGCATGGTTAGTTGACTCGCAACATAGCACTAGATGAATTAGCTGCGGTACTGACAATAGGAATATGTGTGCATGGTTAGTCGACTCGCAACATAGCACTAGATGAATTATCACCGATATCTGATATCGTGTATGATAGTGGTGAGTTCATCAGTAGTACGTGTCAATATGTTTGAATGTGTTTAATTAACAATGCTGTGCATTCATTAAAATGGCACTAATTGAGCGTCAAGTGCTTTGTGTGTCTGGTAATTGAGGGAAAGGTCCCGTTAGTGACGTCATACTAGTGGCGTCACCATGGTGGAGCTGAGCGTAAGTAATGGGGTGTTGTAGAACTGGACGGGGGGGGGGGAGGAAACGAAAGTTTATGTTTTGCGGGTGATAACGTGAAGTTTAAAATAAAAACCAAGAAACGCCGGTTGAATTTTTAGTGAGCGATTTTACAGTAATTATTTATTCACTTTAATTTTTAAAGTTAGACAAATTTTAAGTAAATAATATTAGAGGTTTAATTTTTCAAATTATACTAACTAATTATAATCCTTCTCTTTGCAATGGTTTTGGTAACTTTAACCTGTTTAAAAAAGTATTGCTGTATGTTGATATAATAGCAGATGTATATGCCATTAATAGTGTTGTTATTGTTTATGTAACGAATGATAGTTGATTGTTCTAGAATCTAGATCTAGTCCTGGTTAGATGTAGGCCCAGGTGTAGGCTACATATTTTAAGCATCATTTAAAAGTCTATAATTTATTATAGCATAACGCTAAAATTGTGTAAAAATATCAGACTGCATTGTGAAACCAACCTCACCAAAGTTCATGAACACAGTCTTCACATTTTGTAGGAAATCATGAGGAAAATAGAAAAATAAAAGACCATAATGAGAGTCGCTTTGATCACTAGAAGGGTTCCGCACTAACTAAAGTAAACATGGTGCTGTTTGGAGTTTCCCGATTTTTATTTTTTACTTTCTCGTATACAGAGTAGAGAGAAAGTATTGTAATCGTGCACAAAAATCACATGAAATTTTGACAGTTTTCACCGTTCTACGCCTCAGTACTTCATCATATACGGAGTATAGGGGACTTATTTTAATCGGGCAAAAATTATAAATCCAGATTTATCCTAATTTTAGCGTTTTACGCGTCATCGAATCGGGAAAACTGGGCTTTGCAATTGTTTCCGTGTGTGTGTATGTTTGAGTGTCTGTGAACACGATAACTTGAGTACCGTTATAGCTAGATTAATGGAATTTCATTTATAAGTATTACAGAAAATTTGCAGTTCAGTATCAATTTTTCAGCGATTTCCGGGAACCGGAAGTGGAATTTAGTCTACTTTCGGTTTTTTAAAAGCCTATAACTTAAGTTCTGTTTCTGATAGATAGATGGAATTTTACATATAATCTAATTCTTTGTTGTCTGACGAATTTTGAGTAATTTCCCGTGACCGGAAGTAGTACTTTACGCTATTTCCGATACATTAAAAAACGCATATGAATTTAAAAAGTAATGTTCCATTCATTGTTTGCCGTTCACTTGGTGCGCAATGCTTTTTCTGTGAGATTCTATTCAACTTTTAAAAGTTTAAGTATTTAAAAATTGATTTTAAAAAGTGTGTCTGTATCACGAGTTGCCATCCCCCGTAGTGTTATATAATATAATTCGAGAAAGTTTAGGGGAGATCACTCCCACTTAATTTGAAATATTTAATCTGTTGGATAATGGTATTGTTATTTAATTTTAGTGTATATAGTTGGATATTACATAGTTCTCACATTGTCTAGTGGTGTTAGAATGTAAATGGTTTAATATTATATCGTTCTCACACTGTCTTTATTTTAAAAAATAAATTAAGTGACGTGATTAAGACATGATTAGAATTTTTTTTTTAAATATCAAGAAACGTGCGTTCATAATAATAAGGGAGTCAGCTGAAATATTTAGTATCTGTTGTTGTTTTTGTGTGTTTTATCTTGTTTCTTTTTTGTTTGTTTGCGTGTGCGCGCGCGCGTACGTACGTGCATACGTGCTGGCGTGCTTTTTATATCATGGAAAATAAGTATTTTTAATCGATCCTAAAGAGTGAAAGAAATATTTGTTTAAATGCCTAGATTTCCCGGAGATGAGCTACAAGAATCTCGTCCTGCCTTCAACAAGATTTCACATTTAGCCTCGATACTGAAAGCTCTTTAAAAACTCTCGTCTTCACTTCGTTGTCTGATCGAGAAAAAAATACACGAGAAGCAGCCTCAGTATTTTCCTCAACAAGCGTTCGACCCGGGCAAAAACAGCGGGAAACAATCGAGTTTTGCGGCTTATTTCGGCTACTACCGGGTAAAGGTGTTGATTTGAGAGCCCTCTGCCGGCGCATTAACCGGACGAGACTAATAACCATCTTTATCTGAAGCTGTTTTGGAAACACGAACGCTTTCAGCTTGTCTATTGTACGGTGGACTGGCTTCAATGTTGACACAATGCAAATACCAAGGGGAAGAACTCTCGTTCATCTATTGTCTTGTTTTCTGTCGCGGTAATGTCAGAGGACTTGAGCAGGGAGAAGTGGGGGCGCACTTAATCGTTAATCTAATCTTAGTTTTTATCACCGTTTTTGATTATACCTAAGCCAACCCAAGTAAGTGTGCGTCAGTAACGAGTAACATCTATACTACCTGTTGTAAATTGCCTTTCCAAGTGAAATAAAGATAATTGCTTCTTACAGATTTTTTTTACGGAGACATTTTGAAACTTTCCGTGGAGGCGGATATTGGGTAAAGTATATATTACAGATTGTGATGCACAGACTATGTGCAGTAGCATAAGACTTGGCCTATAAGATAAGTCGACCGCTCATCCATGGAGTTTTAAGCACATCAAAGACTTTAAGAACTAGCGTACAAAAGCTATCATCTACCCAAACTTTCATACCAACCAGCTAACGCACGGTCTCCAAACTACGGCCCGCGGGCCGGATGCGGTCCGCGAGGTTCTCTCATCCGGCCCGCGGAGATCTTTTTGTTCACGGAAAAAAAAAATTTGCTAAAGGTGGCTGAGGAACTTTGCCCGGAAAATTCAAAACAATTTAAAAATGTAGCTTTGGGTGCAAATACCATTGCCCTCCGTGTTGCAGACATGGATGAAAACATTGTGACTCAAATAGTGAAAACTGCTAACAAGTTTCGCAATTTTGTAATGGATGAGTCACTGGACAGCTGTTCCATGTTTTTGGAACAATACAGGGCAACAACTTGACGCACTTTCAGCAGTGCATGGCCTTCATTGCTGAAGCGATAGCTGAGTTCCCCACATCATTTGCATGCGAGATCATCAAAGACCTCAAGCTGCGATTTTCTGAATAGGAATCGAAGGCAGAAGAAGTGAGACTGTTTCAAAACCCATTTGAAGCAAATGTAACCCGTTGCCCAAATGAACTGCAGATGGAGGTCATTGAATTGCAAGCAAATGACTTCCTTAGAGACAAGTTCAAAAAATGGCGGGTAGGTTTTTATGTTTGCCCAAAAAGAACAAACTTGGACCTCGAGTGTGTTGTCGGCCCCCGACAGTGTTTCTTTCAGACTTTTTCTCCTGGGGGGGGGGTTAAAATGTGTATATATTTCTATATAATTATATTTCGTTGGGGGGGGCGGCACGGGGACACCACCACCCCAAAGAGATACCTGGAAGAAACTCTGCCCCCCCCCCAACTGATATTTAATAGTTAATGCGGCCCTCGGGCTGAAAAGTTTGGAGACCCATGAGCTAACGTAAAGATAGAACTATCATCTACCCACAGTTCTATGACCAACCAGCTAGCGTACATGACCCAACACCAATCTTATTAATTTTTTTAGAACAAAAAAAAACCCAAGCTCTCAAAGATTTGGAAGTAATAAACACCTTAAAATCCCACCTTTTGTCTCTCAACATTATCAACAGAGATAACCTACCTGCATGTAGAAGTTTTGAGTTCAGAAACTTGGAGTTTTAGCGTTGTCAATGCAGGGAGTGAAACTTTTTTAAAAGCCTTATGATAGATTAGGTAAGGGGGTGAAATCAAGGGAAATAATTTGGGGAGAGCCTAGGAGCTGAACAGGGTCACCTACCCAATCAGTGGTGTTGGATTATCAGATTTGTCACTGTTGTCACCTCCAAATTTATGATTTCTGTCACTTTTTGCGTGTCCGACACTACGGTCCGCTTGCTGAGGGGGACGTCTGACCAACAGGCTACAACTATACCTGAGTTCACCCAGCTTTAATGGGTACGTGACTCACGTTAGGGAAAGGGTAGAAAGCTGGGCATATTGCTGACCACACTCTCCTTCGTTTACCAAGGGCATAGAAACAGGTGAACTCTACTTCTCATGCCCCATTGGATCTTCAGGGAACTTAACATTTACTGGTGTAATAAGAAGGCGCTGATTTTGATAAATGAAAGTAGTTGAAGCCGCCAAACGAATAAAATCATAAACAATAAATACAATAATCCATTCAACTTTTAAATAAACCCGAGTTATCTCCCTTTATTTTTAATGCAAATTGAGACAAAGAAAATCAAATGGTTATATTTTAATGAAAAGCCAGCAAATATATACAGATACAATGCTATGTGTTTAAAGGATTTTTAACAATACCAAAATATTTTACAAAGTTTAACAGATCTTAGTTCTGATGAGTGATGTTACAAAACATGTAATGGTAAAAAACATCTTTCCTTGTCACTCATTACACTTCAAAACTTCAAATTTTTGTCCTGAATAAATTTGTAAAAAATATAAAGCTTACTAATATCAAGGCAACCGTTAAAATAATCTGAGAAGAAAAATTTCTCTTTCTAACTGCGTTTTTGATGACTAGCACAGTTTTTTCCCCCCTCTGGATTGTCAGAAGTCAGCATCAAGCCCATAAGAGTTGATATTTTAGACAAAGCTGTAAAGCTAGGTCTCTGTAAATAACAGGGGAGCGAACTGGTGTAAATCATGATGAACACAGAATGAAGAAATTCTACAATATAATCACATAATGCGGGCTGCTCGAAAATCTAATTAACTATTTAAACAATGGCTGATTAGAGAATTTTTAAAAATTTCAAAACAGTGGAATGAAAATACAAAAAAATAAGGTTAAATTAAAATTCCTTTGTAAATTGCTGTTTAAAAATCATAATTTTATTACTTCTCTTGCCTATTGTAATTGTCATTTATTGTGCAGAAATGTAGAAATGTTTACAAGAATAAGATCCAAAAAATAAAGATACAAAAACATGTGAAATAAAATGGATTATGCATTAATGAAAATTATGAAAAAATTGCACATTTTAGTGCAACTTATGCTTTTATATAAATCATTGTATCATTAAAATAATGTTTACACAACAAGGTACACATTTAATATTAAAAAGCTGAAAGCACTTAAAAAATCAAAGTAAAACAACAACAAATACTGGTATTCCTGTTGGATAAAAATATTCATTGGAAGAAGTTAAAATTTTGGCATCACATTTCTTAGCTTTATTTCAGAATACACATTTTTTTTTAAAATCCATATGACTACATTATTAAATAGCTAGAATTTTTTAATATAAATTATAATTAAAATAATTTGGTGCCATTATTTATTATAAACAGGGATACCAGCTTATAGAACTGTATAATGAGTTACTATTATTGCTACGGCCAAGTCATTACTCTATAAATAACTATTTACTTATCTGATTAATCAGCAATATTTACAATGACAAACTAATTAGGATGAGGGTAAAGATTTGTTTTTTTAAATGTTACTGTTTTAAAACTTAAGTTGAATTCTTAATAAGTTGCTTCATTTAAAAATACTAGCTAATTAATTGGATTGGCCAAATATTTCAAACACTATTGGGGTCTAATTATAAAAATTAAAAAATCTTGCTCAAATCAGAATCTTTAAACATTAAACTAAAGCCAAGTAAAACAGACTGAGTTATCAGAAACAGTGTATTTTTCTTTAATCTATCTAGCAATAGAACAGAAGTTCTGATTTCTGTCTGTTCTGGAATCACCAGAAAAACAAGGGTACTGGATAAAATCCTGGACGATAGCTGCGCCTGTATCGGTAGGGTCCATCGTCCACATAGACAATCTGCTGACCAGGAGGGGCATTAATGATGGTTGTGGTCCCTGTCGGCGTGTGAATCACTAGGGAAATAAATTAGCTTGGTTAAAATTTCTGGCTTCAAAAGAAATCATAGGTTTAAGTAAAAAACTTTTATTCTCATTACATGTACAAAACATGTTAAAGTCAATATTATTTAGTGTCATAGAATTGCAATAAATAAGATACATAGAAAATTGTAAAGCTCTTTGTGATGATATGTATTCCATATAGACTAATAAACCCTTTAAAAAATTTTAATTTAAGAAATAAAAATGTTAAATTTATATAAAAAAAAAAAATATCAAAATATCAAATAAAAAATGTTAAGAATTTTTCTATCTGACCTTGTGATGCAGGCTGGATAACCTGGCCTGGATAACCATAGCCAACATAAGGAGATCCATAATGAACATATCCAGGGGGAGCAACATAAGAGGTGGTGGTGTTAGCAACGTATGGTGGGGGGTATACGGGTCCAGGCATAGCGCGAGCCTCCTCAAGGGAAATAAGCCATGCCCTATAATAATGTTTAAGAGTATGTATAAGTTAGTTTATTTTTTTTTTTGCATTTTCTATAATATTAATATATGTCAATATAAATTGTATGAGGGTTTAGGTTTTAGTTTTAACTGGGCAAATAGGGAAGTTGTTTGTTTTTTTACACCAGTGATAAAAATGATTAACTCAAAGCATAACATTGTGGTTTGTATAAAACCTGCAATGATGTTTGATTAAACCAGTTACTGGTAGAGGGTTGTCTTAAATGATGTAACAATCCAAGAAGGGAAGAGGTTACAAACGTTGGTGACAATATGTCTCTTGGGGGAGGGGTGGGGCTCAGAAAGTCTGAAGACACATTCGTGTTTTAAAAAGTAATTTTAGAAACTGAGCTTTGGTAGTTAATTTGGGGTTTCATTTGGGGCGTGTCTGAAAGTTGTGATGACGGGAAGGCAAAAATTTTTTTAAGTGTGACATTGTTTATGAAAGAAGCCTTAAAGCAAAAACAAAAAGTTCATTTTTATTTTCATTGTATGTCAAAAAAAACCAATATACTTAAATAAATCTCTAATGGAGACATTTAAAAATAGCACTCACTTCATATCATCAAGAGACTCTGCACACAGAAGCATGGACTCTTTCTCCCTCATCTTCAGCTCCAGGTAAAACGCTTTACTTTGGCCAACCCCTTCTGGTGGGTCAGCTTTACGACACTGATTTTAAAATACAGAAACTTTTATTCTCTTTCAAAACAATCACATCTAAAAAGTAGCAAAAAAAATTTTTTTTAACATCAGGCAGTGTAATTTGCACATTTAAGGGAGTTTTAAAACTTATGTTCTTAACCAGTCTTGTTGGTAGAAAAAAGTTAAGGTCCTCTTTTAGACATAAAGATCCATAGGGCAATGAAGTAGTTCATATGCTTCTTGACCTCGGCATATGAAGGGATGGTGTGGTCAGCACTATGCCCAGCCGCCTTCACTTTCCACAAAGTGAGTCAGGTACCTACCAGAGCTGGGTGGACAAACATAAGGGCCGTCCTACAATCCTGAGGTCTAGACCTTCAGGAAGTTTTTAACTATTCTTTAAGTTGACTACAAAACAAGTGTCTTGGAAGGTAAACACTGATGAACATTTATTAACTATACAAATAATATTTTCAAATTTTTGTTAACTTTGTCAGCTTTGAGTTTAAAATATATTTTTAAAATAAATAATAATATCAGATATAGACAGTATACTATAAGATATATACAAAGTTTATTTGAAGAATGGCAAATATGCAAAAGAAATGGCTCAACTCTTACATCGTGTCCACTTTTGATCTGTGTTACCGCTGCCCGAACCACAATATGCTCCTCAGCTCTGGGGGTATCTGGGCTTTCAAAGTACCGCAAGTCTCCCTGGCGATCCAAAACAAACCAATTCTTCTTCCACCTGTGAAGAACTGAGCCTGGTGACAATAATGCATTTGAGTTATGTACAATATCTATCCTGCACTTATAGTTATAGGGATTCCATTCATGTTTGTGTCTTCCCTATATAAAAGCACTAGTCAAAAGGGGAGGGCAGTGTTTCTTCCAGGCATCTCTTCCATCCCCCCGAACGAAATGAAAATTTATATAGAAAAGTTATACTTTTACCAGTGTCCTCCGTCCCGTCCCCCCTAACTGAAAAATTTAGTCCGCTATACCTAGAGAAACTAGAGATTCTAGATCTAGTCAAGAATCAAGATAGATATCTAATAATATATTTTCTTAACTATTCTAGATTTTTTGTAGGCCTAATAGGCCTAGCTAGAAGTTAAGTAGATACTTGAAGATCTCAATTTTAATCGGAATGTTTAATGTAGGCAGGGCCTAAGGGTTCAACCATAAATGACGTCACACTGTTTTTGACGATTTTTACCTCCCCCTCCCCTCCGTCACACGTCGTCACAAAAAGCCAGACCCCCCCCCCCCCTAAAATGATGTCACACCTCAACCAACAACCCCCCCTCAAAATTGCTGTTGAATTTTTCTTAAAACATCGATATTTTTCCAAAATCTTGTCAGAACTCATTCAACATTGAGTATTTTGATCAATTCCTATTAAAATTTATTAAAACCGTTTTCTAAAACGCGAAATAACGGCTAAAACTCGTTTTCTAACATTGCTTTTTTATAATGCAAAAAAGTGATGTCACACCATCTGAGCCCCCCCCCCCCCCTCCCTCCCCCTCATCACACACCATCACAAAATTACAGCCCCCCCTCCCCCCTACGAGTGTGACCTCATTTATTATTTATGGATGACCCCTAAAGGGCCTATCTACTCTCAGTACTCTGGAGTCTAAATCAAGTTAAATCAACAAACAACAAACTAGGCCTACAGTCTATCTACTAACTAGTATCTAGATTAGATCTAGATCTAGATTCCAGATTAATCTAGAATATTCTAGAATCTAGATTTAACACTAGATTACTATAACTAGAATCTATAGTATATATGATATATATATAGGCCAGGCCTACTAGATCTACTACAAGATCTAGAATCTAGATCTAGATCTAGCACTTACTTTGACGGTACAGCCAACCAGCTTTCGCTATATCAAATCCACCACTCGCCATATTAGTTAGGCCTATATTACTGAAATAGTGTAAAGAAAGTTAATTTTAATTGCAATGGGATGTTGAGTAGCAGTAATTTGAGTGAATGACTTTTTTTTTATTGAGTGACTCATTGATTATGATTATGAATAGTAATAGGCACATCGTAGTCAGTAGTGAAACAGTAGCTAACTATCTAGATTCTAATACTACTAATAGTAATTAATAATTAATAAAATAATTATTATTATTTATTAGATCTAGAGATCTAGTATTAATTAATACTATTATTCTATTAATAACAAGAAATTCTGTATGACTCACTCGATCCTAATAACTTATCTAAATTCTGTACTAGATGTCTAGATATTGATATAGATTGTAGATCTATTAAAATAGTGAGATCTAGGATCTTGATTTACTTTGGCAAACAAATTTCACGTGACCAGTCACCACCAATTGAAAACAACAATTTTTGATGACGCTTTCGCTTGTTGTTTTTTTTACTTCCGAAGCGAAGTAACTCTAACAAATATTTTCTTTTTGTTTTTTGCGCTGCTCGCCCCTGTCTCTGCGGTGACGCAAAAAAGTACACAACTTCGTGACATCATATTGAAACCGTTAGGATTCCTATCACATCTGGAACAATGCATTAAAAATAAAAATTAAAAAAACCTATGTAAGTTCATTAAAAATCACGAATAGCAGTGAAAATAAACAGTCCGGTAAGTCTTATAGACTTAACTTAAGCATTAATCTAGAATTAGGCTACAATTTTAAATCTTCTGACCTACAACTACAACAATAACAATACGATCACTTGAGTTTGATTAAGATTGATCATTGAGTGTTTACTTTACTCACACTGTCACTGTGTAGAAGAGTGTAGATTTAGATCTAGTAGTGTAGTGTAGTGTGTAGTCACTAACAACCTAGAAACCAAGTCTTTGTATTGACATGTATGTTTATTAAAACTCACAAATAGCAGTGAAAAAAAAGTAAGCATTAATCTAAAAGTTAAAGTAGACTACAATTTTAAATCTAATGACCACAGACTACAGCCACACAGACAGTGTGTAGTCACTAAGTCAAAGCCCCCCCCCCCCCCCCCTCAGTAGAATCTTGGCCGAAATTTTTGTCTTTATCGTAGAAACCCACCCAGGATCAGGGGCGTAGCGAGGGGGGGGCGGGGGTGCGGACCGCACCGGGTGACACCATTTAGGGAGGTGACACCAAGGCAAAAAATAGCAAAATATATAGAGAAAAACTTGAGGGGGGTGCAAATCGAAAACTTGAAAGTTTGTCCCCGGGAAGGGTCGCTACGCCTCTGGGGGGTGACACCATTAAGTGCCGCACCGGGTGACACCCGACCTCGCTACGCCACTGCCCAGGATTATACTCAATAACTTCCCTAAGTTTTATGACGTATGAATAGTGTAGCAATACATTGTCTGTGTACTAAAACATTAAAGACATTAGATCCAGATCTCTCTATGCATAGATCTAGATATAGATCTAAATCTAGATCTATATTCTATATCAGGGGTCTCCACTTACTTTTCAGCCAGAGGGCCGCCTTAACTATGGACTATCAGATCAGGTGCAGTTTCTCAGGCATCTATTTGGGGTGGCGGAGCGCCCCCCCCCCCCGAAAAACGTCTACTACCCCCCCCCCCCCCGCCCCCCCCCGCCCCCCCCCCCCCCCAACAATATATAATTTATATACACATTTCAACACAATCGAGGTCCATGCTTGCTCTCAAATTATTCTTCACATATTTCATTTTAGAAAATGTTAGTTCACACAAGTATGTTGTTCCACAATGTGAAAGGTACATTGAAGCAAAATGTTTATTATTGGGAAAGTCTTCCATGGGTAAAAACTTATAAAAACCTACCCGCCCTTCTTTGAACTTGTTGAGAGGTAGAACAGCTGTCCAGCGACTCATCCATTGCATTTGAAAAATAGCGAAACTTGATGCATTTTTCGCGATTTGAGCCAAGATGTTTTCGCCAATGTCTGCAACACGGCGGGCAATGGTAGTTGCACCAAAAGCTATATTTTCAAATTGTTTTCAATTTTCTGAGCAAAGTTCCTCAGCCATCTCAAACAAACTTTTTTTTCTGTGGACAAAAAGAGCTCCGCGGGCCGGATGAGAGGACATCGCTAGCCGCATCCGGCCCCATGGGCCGTAGTTTGGAGACCCCTGTTCTATATTGATATTTTATAAATATTCTTTTTTTTTTAATGTATACCATAAATAACAATAATAACTAGAATTCTAGATACTATTGTACAATACTAGACTCTAGTGATCTAGACCTATTGGTGCTAGATCTATCCACATTAGTTCTAAAAGGACAAGGGCGAAGATTATTAGATTTATAATCTGCACGCTAGTTATTAGTGTAGAGTGTAGATCTATTTATGTTAATGAATAAATTGTTGTTACACTGAAATAAAGAAAAATAAGAGTTAGATCTAAATCAGTGGTTCTTAATCTGGGTTCGATCGAACACCATGGGTTTAGTAAGTCAGTCTTAGTGGTTCTGCGGAGGTCAACACACACACCCAACTAATAGGATTTCGCCAATGCGGACGATAGAACTAGTGGTCGTGGATGATCAGTGTTTCTTCCAGCCTTTTTCCCCCGTGGGGGGGGGGGGGCGTTTGATATTTTCGGGGGCGGACATTTTCCGGGGGGGGGGGGGGGTGGACACTGGTAAAAGTATGTTTTCTATATAATTTCCATTTCGTTTCTTCGGGGGAAGATATGATTTGCTTTTGAAAAAAAAAACATTTTATTTGTCCTATTATGAAGGGTTGGGTGAATGGGCATTAGAAGCTGATGGGGGTTTCGATGCCTCCAAAAAGGTTAAGAGCCACTTATCTAGATCTAGTTAGCCAGTAGCCATTAAGTTTTCACCTTCCTTAATAAGTATTTTTTTTTAAATATCTAGATCTATTCATTTTTAATGTTTAAAAATTAACCTTAAAACGTTTGATTGTGGTGGTAGGCTCCTGAGCAATTGCCAGGCCTAATATAGATCCAGCTAGTAATAATACTGACATATTTTGTCTAGATGTAGTATTGGCAAGCTGTATCAGAAGTGTGTACGGGTTGAATGGCGATAATCCATAATAATGGTACTTTTATAAAAAGCCATGTGAAGGTTAAGAAGTAAAGTAACCTTTCAACCTGGCGGAACTTTGGGGCAGATAAAGTAGATTTCACCTGTTTCTGTGACCCGTGTGGTCCGTATTTTCAGATTTAAGCGAACTCAGGTACTTTGGGATTAGCAGTCAAGCACACTACCGTTTGACAACTCCCGTAAGTTAAAACAGCTGAAGATTTATACAAGTGGAAACATTGATACGCGAAGTACTAGCCCGTCACACACTCATTAATTTGGCAGTGTGGCTAATGAAACATGCAATCTAATGTGTGTCCCTTTCTGTGCTGTATGATTATGTTATTAGTTTTGGATGTTAACTTAATTAATTAGGGTTGAGTTGTAACAACGAAATTTGTAATTGTGAAATGATATTGTCCCTCTGGATTGTTTACGGTTTGGTACAAGTTAATAATTTTATAACTAGGAAAACTAGTCATTAACTGTAGCATGTCGTATACTGAAGCAAAGTTCTTGCTAGTTGACCTACTGTACACTAACAACGACAGGTCGTATACTGAAGCAAAGTTCTCGCTAGTTGACCTACTGTACCCTAACTGTAGCATGTATACTGAAGCAAAGTTCTTGCTTGTTGACTTACTGTACCCGATCTCTAACTACGGCAGGCTGTAACTTGAACCCTAAAGGTCATACCGGCAGAAATAAATTCCATCCAATACTTTATTCTAACAAAGTCATTTATCGACGACTCTCCGGTGTCTTTATTATAGTTGACAGGCGCATATTAATTCACGTTATCTACTCAACAGATTCCACCCCCATCAGAAGCAGAGCTGCCATTAGAAATGAATGCGTCACACGTCACATCGATGTCGCCCAACACATTCCGGCGTTTACTGGTTGCCCACGGACGCTCCAGCACACTTGGAATGTTCGACGTGTCGAACCCCATCGATACAGAGGAGATCATCAAAAAGCTCAAAGACATAAAGAAGCAGAAAACTGCCACTGCAGAAGATAGCTCCAAGGGTGATGCGCTCAATGAACACGAAGGTGAAAACATGGTGGCCAAATACTACGTCAACAACTCCATGCCGCCTAAAGACAGTATCATCAACCCTCCACTTTCTAAACTTCACGGCCACGGACCTCAAGAAATCAGCAGCAGTTATTCCTTCTACAAGAGGGCATTTAAGGTGAACGGCACCGAGGCATGGGAGTTTGCTATGAGAGACCTTGGTAGCATAGACACGTTGCTCAATCGCTATGGCTATGTGGCACCAAAGATGCGAGGCAAGCTGAGTGGTGAGAAAAAAGGGAAAAACTAGGTTCACATTCAAGCATTTGGTTGTCCAGATTGGTTAGGATAAATTAAACAGCTCAAGCTAATGGTTTCACGAATTCTTAATTATTTCTGGTGTGTATCGTACCTTCATGAATTGTGTGTTTGACTTCCACCCCCTCTACGTGTTTGAAATGTGATCTCTAAATACTGGGTCACTATTCGACTACTGCTGTTATTTTTAGCTGCAAGTATTACACTTTCTGGGGGAAACTTACTGCAGGTGCCTGAGGTCTCAGAGACACCAGCGTTACAGTAATGCCTGATGTCTAGGAGTGGACAGGCTCTGACCAAGAGGCCCAGCAGATTTTTAACAATTCTCCCTCCCATCCCCCCCCCCCCCCCCCCCCGCACACCCTGGCATGCAGAAATTGGAAAATACCAGCAATTTTTTTTTAAAATCAACTCTAATAGGACTTTAACAGCACCGTTCATGGGGGCTCGCTGGAATTGTTCCCAGTAGACCAGTCCACCACCACTTCTGTGAGACCTGACAGAGACACCAGAAATAGTGTCTGATATCAGAGACAGTGTCTGATCTCTACTCACAGACACCAGAAATAGTGTCTGATATCAGAGACAGTGTCTGATCTCTACTCACACAGACACCAGAAATAGTGTCTGATATCAGAGACAGTGTCTGATCTCTACTCACACAGACACCAGAAATAGTGTCTGATATCAGAGACAGTGTCTGATCTCTACTCACACAGACACCAGAAATAGTGTCTGATATCAGAGACACTGTAGTGTCTGATCTCTACTCACAGAGACACCAGAAATAGTGTCTGATATCAGAGACACTGTAGTGTCTGATCTCTACTCACAGAGACACCAGAAATAGTGTCTGATATCAGAGACAGTGTCTGATCTCTACTCACACAGACACCAGAAATAGTGTCTGATATCAGAGACAGTGTCTGATCTCTACTCACACAGACACCAGAAATAGTGTCTGATATCAGAGACACTGTAGTGTCTGATCTCTACTCACAGACACCAGAAATAGTGTCTGATATCAGAGACACTGTAGTGTCTGATCTCTACTCACAGACACCAGAAATAGTGTCTGATATCAGAGACACTGTAGTGTCTGATCTCTACTCACAGAGACACCCCATCTCTCTTCCTTCATCCCCTAAACACCCCTCCCCTTCCCCACAAAACACACACCAATGAGAAAATGGTTCAAAGACATTTGTTTTCTGCCATGTTTATTAAATTGGAGATACACAGACTTGACAAATCATTGCATTGGGTAATTTTACAGAACAAGATATTGGATATGTCAAATCATTCTCTAATGATTATGACAATAGGAAACAGTTTTACCCTTAAACTCTTTGTGTAAAAAGTAATATTGGGTTAAATACTAAAATTATATAAATTTAACAAAATCATAATTTAAGCCAAAATCTAAGTTAATGTATTGAGATTACATCTGTAAGAAAAAACTAAATTTACAGATTGCACTTCTCTATATGTCATAGCAAATAACTTATTCCTAATGATGTCAAACAAACTTGTGCTACACTAGCTATTTTAAATTTGGTCCCTGAGTTTCTCATTGGTTGCAGCCTACAATGTCATGAACAATGGCACCCTCCAGGACTAGTGCTAGTCACAACATTGTAAAATAGATGCCTGGTGTATTGTGAAACAAATTATTTCATGATACTAGAGCAGGATACACTTACTACAAAGGTTAATGCCATTTTTCTTTTTAAAAACTTGTTAACTAGTATAATAAATTAACATAATTATATACAAACACCATATAATATTTTTAGTTCAGTTTTACTTGATAAGTTATTTCCAACGATATAACTTATACATATGTTATTATTAAAAAATGCAAATTGATCTTAAAATTTTTGTTTGTGCCTAAAAGAACATTGTGTATGCTGTCAGAAAACTAAAATCACATAAACATTCATGAACAAAAAAATTCCAGCAATCAGATATAAAATAACAGTTAAACAATACTGAATCTCACATTCTATGCCCTCAATAAAAACATGAGAACTATTACTTCTGTGCTTAAGATATGTTCATCTTCAAATTAAAATATCTGCTAATGACAATATAAATGTACAGCTTTCTATATTTTACACCAAGTCTAAAGAATTTACAAAGTATTTGTACAGTACTCCTTGAATCATTGCACAGATGTTGTGATATTATTTAGTAACAGGTTAGCAGTTAACAGGAAGAGATTCACTGCAGTCTTAGTATGGATATGAACCATATTGTGGGGCAGAACCTGGTGGTCCTTGCATGCTAGAAGATAACCTTCTCATTGCCATGACATTTCTTTGCTGTGGTGCTGGCATAGGTGCCATGCCTGGCTGAGACTGCTGCTGTTGTGCTTGCATCGGCATCATCTGGGGATACATATTTAGTATTACGACCTTCATAATATGGATTTATAAATGTCAGATATACATTTGCTGACATGTTCAACATTGATTAATTAATTTTCTCGACTAAGTTTATTACCTGCTGTCTGAACTGCATTTGTGAGTTAGCCATGTGACCCCCCATGTAGGACTGAGGGAGCTGGCCAGGGGCCACATTGGATGCCATGGGTCCCTGGCTGTAAGAGTTCATACCACTTGTAGCGGAGGGTGCCATCCCACCCATCCCTGTTGACATCCTGTACAATTCACAAAACATGTCAACAATCTTTCATATAATACATTTAGTTTTATGATAAACAATGTCCGTCAGAAATGTCCTTATCCTTACTACTTTAGAACAGAAATTTTTTAAAATATCCTCACAAGGCAAGTGTTCTCTAAATTTAATCAACTGTAAGGTGTCACTGAGACACAATGTTACCTGTAGTAAATGAGCAAGTAATATTGTACTAACCTCTGTGTGTTGGAGCCATACTGTGGGGCAGGCTGACCTGCACTCTGGTTAGACATGAAGCCACTCTGTGGAGGTATGCCACCACTCATCATGGCGGCACCCTGGGGCCCTGCCTGGTACCCTTGGTTAAAATTCCCCGGCATCATTCCACCCCCGCCAGCCATGGGGTCCATGATACGACTTTGTTGTGGACCCATAGAGCTGTAATAGTTGCCTGTGGAACCAGTAAACAACAATCACATTATTCTCTACATACAAAAACATTTTATACACTTTATGCTTTAATTTTTTTTAAATATAGATATTCAAGACTATCAAAAAATAACTTTAAAAATGTAATTAACTAGGCTAATGAAGTAATTAAATGTAGAGGTAAAAAAATGTGTGTGTCAGACCTATCATGTTCTCACCTTGAGGCTGTCCCATCGGGTGGCCCATTGTCCCCTGGCTTTGTCCAGACATAGGACCAGGGTACATCCCAGTCTGGGATGTGTCCATCATGTTTCTGTTCCTGTGTAAGATGTGTTGTCTCAATAGCTGATTGTTAGGGGTTGTCTTGCTCATCTGCATGCCTTGTGGCCCTTGGGTTATTGGACCCTGAGAAAAAATATTTCATTCTTTCACATTTCTCATTATGAGACAGTGTGGTTAATTTCTAGAGCATAAAAAGGCTAGAACAAGATTCCAGGGATTTTTGTAAGATGTCCAACAAGTTAACTGACTTAAATTGGAAAATGGTAAGGGAGTTAGTGACACAAACCAGTTTTCATGTGTTCATATAAAAACAACACAAAACAGCTTTGTATTAATTAATGCACAATATAAAATGACACAACTTAAAATTTTGAGAAGCAATGTTCTAAGACTATCATTTCCAAATGATTTTTTAAAATTATTTCCTAAAGATCAATTGATGAACTGAGCAATACTTACAGGCGCTGGCATATAGCCACTTTGAGTAACCATGGATCAATTGATGAACTGAGCAATACTTACAGGCGCTGGCATGTAGCCACTTTGTGTAACCATGGATCAATTGATGAACTGAGCAATACTTACAGGTGCTGGCATGTAGCCACTTTGTGTAACCATGGATCAATTGATGAACTCAGCAATACTTACAGGCGCTGTAGCCACTTTGTATAACCATGGATCAATTGATGAACTCAGCAATACTTACAGGTGCTGGCATGTAGCCACTTTGTGTAACCATGGAACGATGGATGAGCATTTTATTGAGGACCTGTTTAGAGTTGTTTAAACCACCAGGCACGCGTTGTCTAGGGGGTGGGTTCTGATACATGTATGGCAGTGGCTGGGGTTGGTTATGATTGTAGGACCACATTGGCTGGGGCCCAGGCTGGTTGTACATCGTATCAGGTTGGTAGAATGGTCTCATTGGATTATTGGGCTGAAAGGAGATTTTCTTAACTTACAACTTTTTTGTAGTAATGCAAAAAATGTTATACTGTCATTCAGGACTACTATTTTTTTAATGCTTGATTTTAAGATTGCAAATAATTATAAATACAAATAGTACCTAATTTTTTCAAAATAAAAAATTACTATTTAGCAAAATAAAATAATATTTTTTTTATATTGGCTATAAGAAACAAAAGATGAATCCTCAAATTTACAGTAATGTTATAATTGGGATTGCTTGCAGCTTGTTTGGGACGTTTCTTCTTTATACGTCCAGTAGCCTTTTTACTCGAGTCACTAGAAATTTCTATGGTTTCCTTGGGCTTTTCATCCTAGGGTTGATAAAAAAAATTATGTGTAAATTATTTGATAGATGTAGATATTAATAATGAGTTTGTTATGTACATCTAATACATTCTTTTTTTCATTAATGGCATATGTAAAAAAAAAAAAAAAAAAAAAAAAAAAATTAAATGCCAATTCAAGATTCAAAGTTCTAAACCAGAAATAAGAGACAGGTTTTGACAAGAGTTTGAGTAAATACAACTTTAAATGTACACAACTGCTTCAGCTGGGAGAAAAGGGTATTCTATATATGTGCTGAGTACATGTTTTTTTTAAAGAACTCTGAGGGGTGTTGTTATATTTGTTTCAACAAACTTACAATTTTTTCTGGGATAGGTTCTAGATCCTCTGGTGGTAAGTTTGGTGGCTCCATGAAATAACTAAGTGGCTTTCGTAGTGAATGGCTGTGATATAGATCCAACCTGTGGAACACCCAAAACATTTACTGAGAATAAGACTTAGACTAGAAGCTCAACATATTGACAAGACAAATATATAAAAGCACCAAAATGACTTTTCAGCTCCAAAAAAAAACTGATTGATATTAAATGCTACCTTCTTTGATCTTCGTATTTTAATGTTTTCTTCTCCAGTCGAACAGCTCCAAAATATGACCACGGAATAGGTGGCATATTCTTGTGTCCTTCAATTATCTCCCATGGATTAAAAGCTATTTTCTGAGCCACTTGAAGACCCTAAGTTTTCATTTAAGAATAAATATATATTCAGTTGTTTCTTTTTTAAAAGAAGACAATAAACTTAAAAGATTTAGGCTTAAAATAAGCAATGCAAATTTGTATCATACTCTTGTAATATTTTTTTTTTTTTGCATATTTGTTTTCATTTTAACAAACTTTCCCCATTTATTTTATTCTGTTCAAGCTGGGTAAAGTTATTAACATTATTTTAAAGGAATATAACTAGTACGTAAGCTGACACTACAAAAAAAAAACAATAACAAGAAGGCATGAAAAAAGCTGGAGAAAAAGTTTAGAGGCCAGAATAGACAGATAAGCAGTGTGTCTGTCTAGTAGGTATTGGGTGAGAAGCTCTAGAAGAATACACACTGGCTTTTTGCCTATAGCATCAAATGTTTGCACTCTGTTCCCTTTATTGTCAAGGACTGCTCCATATGGCTCAACTGTGATCACTTCAACCTGCTTCTTGGGCAGGGGGAATAACTGTCTGATCTGATCTATAGCTGGGGTGTTTTTATCCCCAAGTTCTTTCTAGAACAGAAGAAAGAAAAATGATGAATATTAAAATGCAAAGGTAAAACAAGAAGACAAAATTGCCAGATGGCTCTAAATGATAAAGCTGGTTTAACAAACAACTTTACAAGACTACTACAAACAACTTTACAAGACTACTACACAATTACCTGTCCTAAGCTATTTTTTTAATTAAATTAAATGACTATTAATGAAGGTTTAAACATATCAATGTTGGTTTTGAACAATTTTTTCAAACAAATTTCATAGAAATTGCTGGCAATTAACCTTTGACCTAAACTGCTCTCAGGAAAATGTTGAGAATGCCATAATAATTGCTTCTAGACAAAAGTACACTTTTAATTAATTTGAAATCAGAAAAATCATACCCTCAGTTTTTTTATAAGATTGAAGTAAGTTTTCTTATTCTCATCTCCCTTCTCCTGGCCTTCAGACAACAGCGTTCCATGGATGAGCACAGACAGCATGTCAACAATAGTCAGGAATAGTTCACTGAAACATTGGATAAACACAGACAGCATGTCAACAATAGTCAGGAATAGTTCACTGAAACATTGGATAAACAGACAGCATGTCAACAATAGTCAGGAATAGTTCACTAAAACATTGGATAAACAGATGGCATGTCAACAATAGTCAGGAATAGTTCACTGAAACATTGGATTAACAGACAGCATGTCAACAATAGTCAGGAATAGTTCACTAAAACATTGGATAAACAGATGGCATGTCAACAATAGTCAGGAATAGTTCACTGAAACATTGGATTAACAGACAGCATGTCAACAATAGTCAGGAATAGTTCACTGAAACATTGGATTAACAGACAGCATGTCAACAATAGTCAGGAATAGTTCACTGAAACATTGGATTAACAGACAGCATGTCAACAATAGTCAGGAATAGTTCACTGAAACAATAGATTAACAGACAGCATGTCAACAATAGTCAGGAATAGTTCACTAAAACATTGGATAAACAGCTGGCATGTCAACAATAGTCAGGAATAGTTCACTGAAACATTGGATAAACACAGACAGCATGACAACAATAGTCAGGAATAGTTCACTGAAACATTGGATAAACAGACAGCATGTCAACAATAGTCAGGAAAAACATTGGATAAACACAGACAGCATGTCAACAATAGTCAGGAATAGTTCACTAAAACATTGGATAAACAGACAGCATGACAACAATAGTTAGGAATAGTTCACTGAAACATTGGATAAACACAGACAGCAGGTCAACAATAGTTCACTGAAACATTGGATGGTATGACAACAATAGTTCACTATAACACCAAATGAGCAGATTGTATGACAACAATAGTTGACTGAAACATTGGATGAGCAGATGACAAAACCAACTCACCTATTCACCTGGCAGTCAATCACATCATGGCTGATGAGTTGAACTAAAATGAGAGCCCAGTCACTAGTAGCTGCATTGTTGCGCTGTATCATATCAAACATTCCACCAACCTGGTTTACACATGTAAAAAAAACGTTACTTTTATGCCTAGAAGTAGAGAATGCAAACATAAAATATTGATGTACTTGTAGTGGGTACAAAAATTTTTATTTTTAATGTCTAAAAGGGTAATAATATGTATTAACTAAATTTATCACTAATACATGGAAAAATAAGCTTACCAAAGAAAGTCTTAGCTGTAAGGCTTCATGAAGATTCTGTCTAACCTTGCTTTCATCTGTCACTGTTTTGTCCTGATAAAATTGTGTATGAATTAAACATCTGTCATAAGGTAGGACATATGATCAAACATCTGTCACAAGATAGGAAATTTAAATCAAGGTAAGACATTAATCAATCATCTGTCACAAGATAGGACAAATGAATCAAACATCTGTCATAAGGTAGGACCTATGAATTAAGCTCTTAAAATATGGAGTATCTATCAATTCATTGTAAAAAAAGTATTACTTATTACTATTACTTTTTTTGGAGCTTTCTCGACATTTATGTTGTGAATTAATACACTATTGTCAACTAATATTGTAAGCTTTAAAGAGAAATCAAATGACTTACATTTTTAACAACAACTTCCTTGACATTGTTGATAAACTGTTCCATCTGATTTAGGAGAGATCGCAGGAGAAATTCTCTCTGCTCGTCCTGACCTTTCAGACAACTTAAGACCAGAGACAAGAATGGCTGATGCCCCAATAGGGATTTGCTACATAAGGAAAAATAAAATTTTAACATTATTTGTTGTGTAGGGAGAAAATGTTTTAAAAACTATATGTTGCGTATGTGTAAAATGTTTTAAAATGTACAAACAAGATTTATAAGAAGTTGTAAAAACAAACATATGCATTTATTTTCCAAGCGACTGTTTGTAAAATTATTTTAGCTAAACCTAATACAACAAGCACAAATCTGAGTAGAGCTGTAAAACTATATTATCAATAATAAATAGTTAAAAATTTGGTATTTTAAAGTTACATAATGAATTTAATAGTAATAGATTTTCTTTCGAAGACACATTTTCAGTGAGCAAATACCTTTTCATATTTTTTTCCTTTTCTTGTTTATTCTTAGAGGACATATTGCCACTCTCAAGCACCTGTGCTGCTAACTTTAGAACACGACCCTGTATGGTGATAGGCAGCTTAGCAATCAGTGGCGCTACCAGCCAAATTGTATTTTCCGTACCCGTTCTATAATGGAAACAGATCAGTTGTTAATCTATACATATTATGAAACGAAAATATTGAGCTGATATCACATTTTATTAAACATGGTTGTGTGGTTGTCATAAATACAGGTTTATTAAAATAAAATAAAAAATAATTACTTGTGTTCTTGAGGAAGGGCCATTGATGAACTCTCTGCTGTATTCTGGCTTTCTGTCAGTTGATGAAATAGGTCGATAGTGCCCCGGGAAACTAAGTCTAATAAACTATTTGTTTCCTTAAGACAAAAAGGAAAAACATTATCTAAGTACGTTTTTTTTTTAAAAGTATGATTACTCAAACCATATCAAAATGTTAAAATTTAATTTGAAAATTCTTGAAATAATTACAACAAAAATTCTAACAACAGTACCAGTACCCTTAAGTTATTACAACAAAAACAGTAGACCAGCCAAATTAAAAAAAAAAATAGTTACTGATTGTGACTGTGCTCTTTCAAAAAGTAACTGCAGCTCAAGCCAAGACACCCTCAGGGTCCACTGATCCAGTGTCTGGAAGGTAAAATATTTCTTTTTGTTTCAGGTAAGGCAGGATAAGTCAATGTTAGAGGAACAAGAGATCATTCAATGTTCAAGACTGTAAAGATTATTCAATGTTTAAGAAATAAACAAAACATTTGATGTTTCGACCAGTGTATTTGTCTCTCACCTGTAGAACTCGCTGTACAACATGTTTATTCTCTGGCTCACACCCTTCTACCTGGTTGGGCACACCTGTTGGGTAACAGATCATTTGCAGCAGCTGTTGGGCCTGAAATTTTTTTTTTAAATTCAGATTTGGCTTAAAATATTCACAACTTTTTTCTAAATTATGTTAGCAAACAATTGTCAAGGAGCTTCAACTGATGTAAATGCTAGCTAATAATATATTTTAATTTTGTATTCACCAAACGTAGAGAATAAAAACACAATTTTTAGCCACACGAGTTAATCCAAATCGTTAAAACTTATCACTAAGAAATATTCAAACAGAACGACTACACTACCTGTCTGTAGGACAAAATAGGATCATTCAAGAGATCACTGGTAAATAATTTTTCTGGATTTCTTAGAAATTTCTCTCGCACCCAGTCCTGTCGGCAGATTTCTGTCAGGGCACATTTAGCAAACTCACTAAGACTTCCACTACCCAGGCCATCTTTTCCAGATTGACCACTTGCTCTGAGAAAATAAAAGAACAGGAAATATTTATTACATTTTTAGGTAACAAATGTCATTTTAAAATTTTTATTAAGTGGGTTGAGTCTCACCCTTTTCTTTAGCCAAAAAATGAGCTTTGAATATTTATTGCATCGTGGATCAATTTTTTAATAATAAATATCTTCAGACAGTATTGAAAAATAAAACAAGTTAATTAGTATTAATAACCAATGAATTTTTTTTACCTTAACATAGCCTCCATTTCGTCCCCCAGACCATCATTTTCCAGGTTACGCAACATGTAATCCAGAACCATGCCGGTTTTATCTTTATTACTGCTTGAGCTGCCTTTATTTGTAGATTCATCGTTGGACTCATCAGCTAAAAAAATATTTTACTTAGTGTGGATGAAAAGGCTGGTAGTACTTAAAACTGGGAGATTTAATCAGGCTGAATTAAATTATAAACAAAAGTCTTTGCACAAAATAAAAATACCCAATTTCAGCATAGCTTTTAGAACTGCCAGCATGGGACCAACTCCTATGAACAAATGGGCTGCCTCCAGTAAATGCCGATCACATGAGTTGCGAATAGGGGCGGGGTTTTTCTGTGAGATCCCACACTGGGGAGCTATGAGGTAGGAAGGTTTGAACAAACGCAGCAGTAGGTGGCACGAGAGGCGAGCCCCAGACTCTGCTTCAGCATCGCCCTCTGAAACACATTACACTCATTTAGTCACAAAACACTTCGAAATCTAATTTTTTTAATGTAGCTGATCAGACAAAAGCAAATAAAAAAAAGAAACAAAAACTTTTAAAAATTAAAATTTAAAAAAAAACCCATAGTTGAACTCACCATTAGTAAAATATGATAATCAGAACCAAAAGTTAAAAAGCTAAGATTACCCATGTGAGCTAGTCACAGATGAAGTGGACGGAGGGATGGAAGAAAAAAAAACTTTACCTTCTGTTGGGTGGTGGCAGGAAGTAAAATTGTGATGAGCAAGATGGATGGCAGAAAAAATATGCAGAAGAGAGAATTTTCATATTTAAATAGGAGGAATGCAAATTAACATTGACTAAAACATTTTTTTTTTCAATACTGAATTTTGTCTTTTGACTATTTTCAACTTCAAATTTTTTTTAACCTTCATTTCAATACATTGTTATATTTAACACTAAACCTATATAAAGTGTAACTAAAATAAGTGTTTATTTTTTTTATTTCTTACTACATAGAAGTACATTAATTAAATACAATTAGTAAGTGTTAAAATCACAACATTCAACACATCTAAGAAAGAGAAAGCAACAGTGAATGTGGATCTATGCCATTGAAACAGTACTCTAATTGATTGCAGCTATAAATAAATCACTCAAGAGATGGGATTTTTAAAAAATATTTCTCATCACGTTAGTTTGCATCCTTTTTAAAAAAAATAAACACAGGACACTATTAGGTGAGTTTAGTTTACAGTAACACAACAGTAAAGGAACAGGAAAGAAAAATCCTTAAGAAATTGTAAACAAACCTGTTCCCACAACCAGTAAAATATAAAGTGCAAATAAAACTTAGTCTGATTCAGCTACTATGCATGTGGATATGTGGATGTACACACACACATAAACATATGCTTAATTTATAAAATAAACAAGATTCAATAACTTAAATACTGACTACAAACAGAAGTAAACATAATAATTTTAAATGCAATTCAAAACATGATGCATTATTGTCTTAAAACTACAACTTAATTTTAGAACTTAAATTTTTTTGGAACTGCTAAGCTTGAAAAATTAACTTTTAATTTAAGCATCTAAGGATTCTAATCAAACAATGGCTTATCTTACCTGATAAAGCATTCTAAACAATATAATCCACTGTCAATTTTCCAGAGGTCAAATGGAATTTTTTTTTTTATATTTAGAGCATAATATATTAGCTCTAAAGATAGGTTAATGAATGAATAAAGTGAAATAACATTGATAATATACAACTTTCAATGTTCTCAACTACAACATATGGAAAACTGACAGGGCAGAAATTAGAGGTTGAGAAATACATCCAAAAGTTAATGTGGATGAATTACCAGGACAGCAGACAGCCATGAGAGAGGGTAGGGCGACATGGTAGACAAAATCTTGCAGTGAAAAACAGTGCCTGGCAATCAGCATGGCAGTGAACACAGCCAGGGAGTCATGGATCGACAAGTCACTCACCTACAGTAGTGGAACAAAATCAACACATGAACTAACAATGTTCTTAAGCTGTGCTTTAAACTAAATATATCCAATAAGAGACCTGTGGGCCATTACTGGTGAGGGATTTGAACAATTTTTTTCTTCTGGTAATATTTGAAATTGTCAACAGTAAGCCTTTTAATTTCAAAAATACTTTTGTAAGTAATTTTTGTAAGTTAATTTTGAAATAATTCAAAAATTAAAATTATCAACTAGAATTTTTGTATACACTGTAATATGTTTTGACCTTGATTATTACTTCAATGAGGAATTTACTACGAGATTCAACAACAGTGTAGAGTACTCACATCAATGGTAGTGAGAACATCAATAAAACCAAGATCTTGCTGGGATGAGCAGCACAAGGCTTTAAGCACACCCAGCCACTCTGGACTCAGGGAGTTGCAATGTGCGGTCAGCTCTGCACACAGTACAGCCAAGTCATTGATATTTCCTAGGCTGGGGATTGTAAAACATTAGCCAATACGTCAGCAAACAGTACAACTAAGTTCTTGATTGTAAAACAGTGACACCTTTAAAGTACTAAGTTTTAAGTGTTGCACTTTAAAAGGGCAATTAGAAACTTGTAATTCTTAGAAGTAGCTGTACTCTTTTCTAAACAAAGATTGGTTCCAATAAAAACAGGCAGGAAAAAACAGTAGGATTTTGAGATTTTTTGCTACATCTGACAATGAATATGAGTATGAATAAGAATTATAATAGGTATACGGATGCTAGCTGGAACAGTCCTCATTATGTTTGTCAGCATATTTGTGAGTACTTTGTACGATATTAAACAGTTGCATTCCAAAAAAAATCAATGTTATCAAGTTTTAAGAGCCAATTAATTAATGATCAAGACTTACTTCTCTGCTGGTGTTGACACAACATCCAGGAGAACATTGCACACAAAGCTGTATCTTGTTGTTGCACAATCGGCCAGGCTTTTGTGCAGCTTGTGTGGCTCATCTGGCAACCTGGGGGTATTCAAAAACTCACTTTAACCACATTTGATAAAACTGCTATCTGCTTCTGGCGTTAATATAATTTTATACAGAGACATAAATTGGCCACAGTTACAAATTTCAAAATAAAGAAAGTAGTTCAAAAACAAATAAACATTTCTTTTTAACAGCTAAGCTCAAATGTGGACTTATAAGTGTCTCTGTATAAAACAAAATTCTTACTATCTTTTTTTATACTCAAAATGGAACATGTTAACTACAAAATAAAATATATAATGCACTATTTATTGGTGACCATCTGTCATTCATGACACACCTGGCAGACTTGATGATCTCTGTCATCTCAATCTGATCCCACTTAGCATTGGTAGAAGATGGTGTTATCTGAGCAAACAAAGTGGCCTTCATCTTTGTGTATGCTGGGTTGAAAATCTCGGAATGACGCATCTGGTAAACAAAATGTGTAATTTAACCATACAGTAAAACCAATTTTCTTAAAATGACTGAATTGTAAAAAAACACTAATTTTTTTATAAATCTGGTCTAGTAAACATTTTATTGAAATTAAAAATTGTCTAATTTTTTTTTTAATTTGATGTACACAAATCTTTGTTATATATAATCCATTGATATATCACCATGATATATTGTGAAGACAAAAATAAAATTTTGATTACTACCTGTAGTGGTGAGCAGGTAGAATAAATGTCATACAGGTAGGTGAGCACGCATCTCTCAGCAGTAGAACAGTAGATAGGGTTACACACATTTACTACTTTCAAAATGTCTGTCAGTCTGTTCATAAAACATCATTTTGTACATTATTTTAAAGCTCCTTAAAAAACTCAAAATAGGGTTGTAAATTTTTAAAGTTATTAAATTAAGATAGTGTTTTTAAAATGTCAAAATGCACAAGGTCAGTGAACGTGATATATCTTTTCTACACACCCTATAAAGAGTTCTGAACTCAGCCCCATAGGACTGAGAAGGTATGAATGATATCTGCGCAAGACAGCCACTATATTCAGACAGACATCAGTTGTGTAGGTCATCATGAGGAAGGATTCCTTTTGATGAAGCTCCTTTTCAACTTCCACAAGATCTTTTAAAAGCTATAGGAAATAAATCAAATCTGCTTACTTAAAAACATTTTTTAAGTAAAATAAAATTTTCACTTTTCCATAATATTTTCCCCTTTTTTACTTTCTTGTATATACGAAGTATAGAGAAAGTATTGTAATCGTGCACAAAAATCACTTGAAATTTTAACAATTTTCACCGTATTACACCTCAGTCCTTCATAACATCCAAAGTATAGAGGACTTATTTTAATCGGACAAAAATTATCAATCCAGATTTATCAAAATTAAGAGGTTTAATGCGTAATCCAGTCTGAAAAACTGGGCTTTGCAATTCTGTCCGTATGTCTGTGTGTCTGTCTGTCTGTCCGTGTGTAAACACGATAACTTGAGTACCGTTACAGCTAGGTTGATGAAATTTCATATATAAGTTTTTAATCAAAATCGTAGATCCGTATCAACTTTTGAGCAATTTCCGATAACCGGAAGTGGTATTTTTTCTACTTTGAATTTTTCAAAAGCCTATAACTTGAGTACTATTTCAAATAGATAAATGAAATTTCACATGTAAGTTAAAGATCAAATTCTCTACCTTCTGTTAAATTTTGAGTAATTTCCGTTGACCGGAAGTAGTAATTTACGCTACTTCCGATTTCTCAAAAAACTAATGTAAATTTTTAAAGTACTAATAATATTGCGCACTATTATGCACTTTTTTATTTGGCGTTCACTTGGTGTGCAATTCTTTTGTGTACAAGATTTTATTCTATTTTTTAAACTTTAAGTATTTAAAATGGATTAAAAATCATGTCTATAGCCCGAGTTCCCATCCCCTGTTGTTTTATATAAGAATATTCGAGAAAGTTTAGGGGAGATCACTCCCGGTTTATTTATTTTTTAAGGAAGTTAATTTTAAATAACCATGCGTTTTGGAGTTTCTAAATACTGAGTAATATTTTGTTCAAAATGTACATCCATAACGTAAAGTGCCTTTATCTTAAGTTGAAAACATAAATTCAAAGTTGAATTGCAAAAAAAACTTACTCTAATAATAAAGTCCAGCAAGCCACTTATGTTTAGAGCAGACTGCATGAGATCAAACAGGAAGGATATATTGTCTTTCAGGGGCAGATAACTCGAGTTGCCAGCTGTGAAACTTTTGATCTGGTCCAACACAGCTGATGTGCACTGGGCTGTCACCTGGTGCTGGTCAAAGTAGGACAGCTTGGAAAACTTCTGCTGCAGGTTGTCAAAGTTAGGGGAGGTAACTGTGGTCCCGGAGGTGGCTGGGGTTGCATTATTTTCAGCTTCTTTGGCTTCCTTCTCTTTCTTTTTTTTCACCTTCACATTAAAAAAAAAACTTAACAAATTATTTTTTTTTGCACACGTAAGCATTAATTTTGAAATTTTTAAGCATGAATGTAGTTATATTATGAATTAAATATACAACAAATTTTCTAATAAAACTATAAATTAAACCTATATACCTTTCCCAAATCTCCACTTGTAACATCAATACAATTTCTCTTACTAAAAAGCTTGACTATTTCCTTAGATATTTTCTTAAACATGTGCCTGGCCTCATCCCTGGCTTTGCCAACACCGTACAGCACAATCATCCTCTGGTTGATCTCGTGACTAGAGCAGTCGTCTTGGGGGATGGGGAAGTGGGTGGCATACACCATATGCCGCGAGGGTCCTTTTGGTTGAGAAACCACGCCCTGTGTCGTGCTGAAGTCACCCACACTGCCCAGTGGCTGATCTTTCTCAGACTTTATAGACTTCACTGATGCTGAGGATATAATTTTGATTCATGTGATTGGTGTATATTACCAAGGCCCAAACAATAACATCTGCAACCAATGGCAAATACTGAATGACAAAGTACATTTTTTTACCTCATTTTGAATCATGAATGCTTACTAAAAATTTAAAATTATTAGCATTTTGTACCAAGGGCAAACTTTACAAATATATTTAAATGGGAATGGTGAAGTTTCATTAAACTTTTGCATTGATGACGAATTCTTTTTTAAACAATAACAGACACCTTAGTTTTCAGAGAGCAGAATTAGAAGATGCCAAACAACGGAGTACAACATATTTTTCTTTAGATAGAATCAGCTGATTGTGTTTTTTATACAGCATAAATTATTAACATAACATATAACTGCTTGGAAAACTGAACACAACATTTAAAATAAAATTTACGTAAACAAAAACATGCAAATTTTCACTCTTAGATCCATGCTACTACAATGTTACAATTAAAAAAAAAAACATATGGAAAATAACCAAAAGGGTATATCTTCCAGTGTAATGCTATAGATAAAGCCACACGACAAAGAAAAGTAACCATTTTTGCAATAACATTCAAAAAAGTATGGTAAGATACAGAGAAAGAAATATATTAAAACCAACAGGCTTTCAATCATTGTGTTGTCATTTTGCCATCCAGTAAATTATAATGACAGACATGGTAAAGATGATGCCATATAACAGATTACGGATAACCCTGTCTTGTGTGAATGGCATTATCAAATAATAATCTTATCATATAAAAGGAAATAAAAGATCAGGTTCTTATTAAAAAAGAAGTCATTACAACTTTTTTTAAATTAGCTTTTTTTAAAAATACATCATGTCATAATTGAGTAATTAAAATAAAATCACATAAATAGTTCATTTATGCATTCTTATGTGTAACAATATGTCGGATGTTTTGTTCTAAAACATTCAGCCATGAAAGTTAAAACATGTGAGATGTACTTCCTGTTATAATTTCATAAAATGATCTTTTAAAAAGGATAACCATATGAAATACATAATAACTCAATGAATAATAACAAGAAAAATAAAATGCTTCTTAAAATAAAATTTGAATCTAAACAAATCAGAAAGAACAAAGAAACAAAACCAAAAAACACAAAAACTGAAGTTTTAAAACTAAAGATGAATGGATGTATAAACTGAGAAGACATCTATACACACATCTGTCTCACCATTGAGTGAACCTAGGTCTACTGCTGGAACAAAAGAAGCAACTCTATGCAAAGTTGGAAAACAGGAAAAATAATTGCAGCACACAGTGTACTTCAAGCTTAGAAACCAACCTCACCAACTGACAAACATTAAACTTTTAATTCAGGCCATCTTTTTAAAACGTAATGAACAATTTTTGTATTCAAACTAAAAGATTTTTAAAAAATGTATTCCGACTAAGAGATTTTTTATTTGATTAAGCTTATAGAAAGATGCACACTATAGCAACAGATGATTTTTATTTGAAGATTATTTTACAAATTTCAAAACTGAACAAAAAACTTTATTCATTATTGAATGTACACTAATTAATTAAAATAAAGTTAGAAGCAAACCACTGCAGAAGAGCAAGAAAAAAAACCCAGCAAATGTTATTTTAGTATAACCTCTCTTACCTGGGGGTTCAGGACTGGGTTTTGACTCATCTTTCATGGCACCAAACAGACTTCCCAGGTTTTCTTCCATTGTGTGGATATCCATGTCCACTTTGATTTCCTCCTACATAAAATAGTCATGGGATTAACAATGTTACTATTGTACATAATATTTGTCATTTCTTAAGGTATTAGCTAAGCTGCTTCTGTAAGTTTAATTTTTTTTCTGAAACAAATTCTTTAATACATAATGTAACATTCTACCTGTAGGATAGTACATTGGAAAAGGTTAAATATTTATGATTCTGGCAGCCATAATTACAAGTCATTGTTATTATTTTTAAACGAAAGGTTCAAATTAATTCATTACCACTAAATGACTTTGTATTTTCAGTTCAAAAACAGAGTTAACATAAAATATGATATCCATGAATTCATTTATATCACAGAAGGATTTTATTTATTCAAATTCATAAACTAAACTGGTTGAATTTGATGTTGGTAAACAAGAAATTTATCATGAATGTGAACAAAGTAAGTATTATCCAAAAAATGTATGGTCTTACATCACCCAGGGTTACGTCATGTTTGATACTCTCTGGTGGACTCTTGGCATTGAACAAATCGTCCTGGTCAGTCAGAGGGGCGGTGTAGGCAGGTGCCAGACCAAGATCCCCCCTGGATATCAGCATGTGCATGTAAGCATCATGTGAGAACACGTCATGCACTATCAACTCGTTGAACAATGAAATCAGGTTTTTAAAAGCCTGCTTCGCCTCGTCTGTAGGGTGCTCTTCTAAAAAAACAATATTTTTTAAAAAAATGAATAGAAAAAATGTGAAATAGTTTATTATTTTACAATTCTCTTACAGATATACTACGTCAAAATTGCAAACTATAATTAACATAAAAAAAAGGCTATAAAACAAACCTAAAACTGGAGCTCTCGTGTCTAAGAAATTCATAAGTAAAGACTGAAAGACTGGTGTAGATGTGATGGGATCAGCATGGAAGCCTTCCTTGTCTTCTGTACCTTCAATATCTCCAAATTTCTGTTGGACAAATCAGAGCTTTCTTTACTCAAATATTTAGTCCTACACTATTAATCATACCATTTTAAATGAATATTTAAAATATGAAGCAACAACTATCTACTGCAGTTAAATCCCCACACTAAGATAAGCTAAAACTCATTGTCTTTTTTTATTAATATACTGTTTTAATAGAAAACTCAAAAATGTTTTAGCCACAAAAAATTTGAGTCAGTGATGCTCACCTCACTCCTGATCTCATTCTGTCTTCTCTCCAGCAGCAGGGCCACTACAATACACCTGTGGTCTCCCACACGCTGGACACTCACTGCCCAGTCCACCAGAAGGTTTATTATGGGTTCATCACCAATAGGGGCCTGTTAGGTAAAGCAAAAGTTTTATAACACTATTAGTAAACATCAAAACCACTGTAACATTTAAACTGAAACAGGAATTCGAATAAGAAAATTAAATGCAGACAGATTTGAGAGCAAATGCTAAGCTTGTTCAAAATAAAGTGAGAATTCTTTTACATTAGAATTATATAACCCCCCCCCCCTTATTATCTGGGTTATAAAGGAAAACGAGATATATTTTTAATACATTTACCATTTTTTAAAAAGTATGATGCACCTAAAATAATGTTTTAAATCACAAGTAAAAAACTTTTTACACAAACAAGCAAATGAAGTTTTGAGTCCAACCCACTTACCTCTCCTGTTTCTTTGCTCTGTGTTATACTAAATATTTTTGTGTACAGTGAGTCCATGTTGTATGTGCTGTCTACAATGTCAAAGTTGTGTTGGTCCAGCACATCCAAAACTTTCAATACTTTGCTCATTATGTAACCTACAGATTTCAACAGTTGTTACTGAATTACAAGTAGAATAGGTATAGCATGTTGTTTATGTAAACAAAAATACTGTAGAATTACAGTGAAACAAGAAAACAACAATTTTTAGGACAAATACCCTTTAGGTAAATGTGAATACACGGTAGTGTTTTTGTTGGAAAGAAGTGTTAATTCTACAGCATAGGTAGACTAATGAAATGGTTTGTTAAGGATGTATTATTAAATCTTACCAACAGCTGACTGTTGACACTTGTCTGAAGACCAGTGCACCTCCGCAGCATGGCTTCTGGTGATGATCTGTTGTTCAGCTATTTTCACTTGGGATCGTATCTATAGACAAAGTGGTGAAATGGTGTACACTATCAAAATATATACAAGTGTAACACAATGCAATAAAATGTTTAACATGAAAAATCTGTTAAGACTTATAAGGTATTTAAGGTGTTATTGTATACAAGGCACAGTACTGCAAGCAAAATATATGTTAGCATCAAATCACACTACTACAGCACACAAAACAAAAAACCTATTAGATTAAGCTATTTGGGTTTTTTTAAAGTTGCTCAGTTCTTAAGTTTATAGTAAGTTTTAACAAATATAAAACCTGCATATAGTTTTCTTACAATGGTGTTGTTTGAAGTTTATAATAATTTCAAGTTTTTACGAACATTAAACTGGCACATAGTTTGACTACTTACATAGGTGTTGTTTGGACCAGGTGGCATTGGCAGGCTGCTGGTGGCGCAAGGAAAGAGGTCTAGTGGTGATCCAACTAAGAAGGAGTTACTCTTACAGTCCCCTAAAGAATTCCACACCATGGCCGTGGGACATTTGATACTAATGATCTGTGCCAGGGCACACAGCTGTAACACAATGAACCTGTGGCTTTGACATTCTTTAAACTCTGCCATAGCATTGATCAGGGGATTACACATTTGGAGGGTGGTGTTGATGGCTTGAGCAGGGGTCAAAGGGGTCCTGCAAAGGAAAGTACATGCATGGTAAGGCATTGTCTTCATTTACATTTTAATTGGTTTGCATGTAATAAAAAATTAGAGTAATTACCCGTTCGCACTCATTTGGGGATCTGTTCTGCCTAGCATGTGGTCCAATTCAGCAACAAGATGTGAAATTTTTTTCCCACAATATGTAGCCAATCTTCTAGCCAAAATCACAGATTTGCAAATGTCAGACGAATACTGAGAATTAAAAAAAAATTAAAACTATTAAATATGATACTGTATAAATCTACAACATTAATACATCAATTATTTTCAAACAAAAAAAAACACTGCTTATAATGGCATCTAGTAAAGACTAAAGATAGGAAAAACAATGTTAGTAATCTTAAGATAAAGATGGCAAATTGAAGATAGCATGGCTTTGGAAATGGCTAAGGCAAAAAAAAAACAAGTACAGACATTGTGCTCTATTTAGGTGTCTGTAGCTCCACAAAAGCCTGGTCAAGCTAATGACTTAATTTCACCAAACTAGAACTGGACAGCAGTACAGTAATGAGGACAGAGAACCAGATACAAGTTCATGAATTGTCTAGTCAACAGCCTCAGAAAGGCCTGGTCAGGTGAAGATATTTAACACCATAAAAAACAATTTTTAAGAATAAAAAACTTACAGTATTGAGCTGCACCAAGAGAAGTTTTAACACCACGTCGTCAGGCTGCTTTATTTTCTCTGGTAGTTCTATCAACCAACTCAGGAATTCATGCCGATCAAACAAACATTCCTGCAGAGGATCAAGATAAGAATTTCATTGGTGAACTTGTAATGCCTTTAATTAATCAAAATTAGTTTCTAAATAAAACTATTCAACATCAGATAAAGTTAGATACAATTGTTTAAACAAAACTCATAAAATAAGTCACTAATCCGTTATAGAAGTGTTGGGGTTTTTCCTCATAGCATAGGTCACGCAACAAAATTGTAAAAATGTGTGCACACACGTTAAAAAAATTAAAAAAGATCTTGTACCTCATACATATGATTAGCAAATCTAGTGCAGTATGTCCAATTCTTCATAGCCAGATCCAGGTCAACTTGAGAAGTAGTAGGTGCTGGAGCTAGGAGGAAAGGGGTGGCAGCAGCATTGCTGGTGCCATGATAATAGTCTTGGATTTTTTGTAGTTGATCTCTTAAGTACTTGCACAGCGCTTGTGTCCAGTCTAGAAACAAAAAATGTAACATTTTCTTTTTATATTGAAAAAGAATTTAAAACCAATTTCATTCAAAAACCATAAAATTGTATTTTAAAAACAACAAAAAACAATTCTATTTTCAAATTATATTAGATTTTCAGATCTTAAAGATGATATAGTTTCTGTTTTCTGAGCTTGGATGTTTTAAGGTATTGTATGTTCAGCACAATGCTGAGCAACCTTTATTTTTATGAACTAGAAAATTCAAAAGCTTGCTTACTATGAAAACATTTTAATTGCTAAACTCACCCATAAACTGATCGACGGCTAACTTTCTACGGTTTCTGGAATCTTGTGTGCCCATATTGTGGGCTGCTGTCATTTTAATAAACCAAGCTGCCCGAACATTTGGGACGGCATATTCACAGAGTGTAGAAAAAATTTCTTCCTTTTTGTTGAATGTGGGAACCTGACACCAAGAAATACAAAAAGGTTTTTACGACCAATTCGACAGTTTACAACTTAACATCTTTTATTGGTTTATCAAGAGAAATAAAAGATTTGATACGCAGAAATGAACATTTACATAGTGTAAGCACATTTTGGACAGTAACAAATTATAAAAATCGATGCCAGAGAAGTGCTAAATGGTAAAAATGCATATACAAGAAAAAATTTGATGAAACAGTTAACAATAATTTTAAAAATGGCTTACTTTACGACTTAGGGAAGCCAAAGGTTTGCTGCCAGCAAGATCTTTGAACCAAGCCTCAGTTGATGTTTTACTGCATGCTGCCTGAAATTTTAAACTTTTATTTTAAATTCTACGGCTCATTTTAAAGAACTATTTAATTAAATCGGTTTTAATTAACTCACAAACTATGATTGGTTGATAGCTCCAATATGTGGAGGAGTGGTGGCCAAAAAAAATTGACCAATAATAATCTTTGCAGAAAATTTACTTTACATTTTAAATGATTAAATCCTCTTACTGTTCACACTGTTGTTCATTGATGGGCAAGTTAATATCATGATTTTATGCTATTATTCTTTTCATACCAAAATCTGTCCTGTGACACAGCCCATTAATAAATAGAATAACACATTCCTGGTATTTTACAGATGAGTTCAGAGAAAAGTTCACAGGCTTTTAAATAACTTGTGACATTTATTTTGTTAAAATTGTTCCTTAAGCCCAACCGTAAGGGCGCGTAGGACTGGTAGATGACTGGATTCCTGTAACTGTTGAATCTATTTTAGGGCAGATTTTTATTAAACTAATGTCATCATCCTCATTACCCTTTTGCACCCAGGACACATGGACATGTAAACTAATGTAACAAAACCCAAATTTGCTAAAAACTAAGCAAAATATTACTATACAACAGAAACTTCTTTTTTTTAAATATTCCAAATGATGAATTGAAAAATATTGCTAACAAGAGACTCAATATTCAGATGTTATATCCTGCTAAATAGTACTGATCAAAAAATTGCTTTTGTAAGAAACAGAATATTTTCGACAGAAAAAAAATTTAAAGGACTGGCATACTCTGTATAGGATTGAAGTTGAAGTGTATACAATAAATGGTTATAAAATGCCCCCTGAAATTTAGTCAATTATTCCTTAAGCTCTTCAAGGTCAAAGGGATGTATTAAAAAATAATATGGTTAATATTTTGAGTTGACCCTTTGTATCCCAATGGTCTTGTTGCATAGAGTTAAATATAAACTAAAAACAATCACATTTCCTAAGGTCATACTAATGCTGAAATATTATTCCTCTGCATACAGAATCATTGCAAAACACAGTAAGTGTAGTCAACTAAAATACAATAAATAAATGTTTACTTACAGGCCAAAAATTCTCTTTAACTGGAAGCTGGAATTTTTTATTCTTGCTGTCTTGTAGAGTATTTAATTCATTCTTTTTCTTAAATACCCCATTGTAGAAAGTGCTGCACTGAAATTTTAATTTAATAAACTTCAGATTTTTAAAAATCAAACTTGACAGCTGAAGTTAAACTATCCCAAAGTTACCATCAAATAAATTAGATAAATTCCAAAAGTAATATGTAAAAAAATAATACCTATAACATAGGTTATAGGTTAGCTAATTAGAATTATAAATCCTTACCCGATCCAATGTTATTTCAATATCTTTTGAAGAAGCACACTGGAAAAATATAATTAAACAAATTTACTAGAACACGACTAAGTTTAGACCAGAAATTTATTACAATCCAAAATAACAAACACGTTCTATATTTTAAATAATAAGTTACCTCATCTGAAACAACTGTTCCAAGCTGGAATCCATTTTTGACATTTTGTTGAGTAAGTTCATCCTACAGAAGAAATTACAAAGCTAAATATTGTTACACAAATATTTAATTAAGAGAGGGCAAAGGCTATTACCTGCTGATTCTATGATCGTACCATAGTGGACACTGGTATAAGAAATCCACCTAGACCTATAGTAGTATAGTTCAATAAAGACTAGATCTAGATCTATGACAAAAGTAAAACAAAATGACTATGCAAACAAACTGCATGCAGCCAAGCCTCCCCTAGACTCTAGGCTAGGCAGAGCAAATATGTGCATGCGTATGACATTCAATTTTTCCACATCGTGATAACTATTCATGTGGTCGAAGAGGTCAAAGTGGCTGGCCATTAGTTAGCCTGTTTTTGTGTGAAGCGAGTTCCATTCCTTTTATCTCTGAGTTTTTATTTTGATATTTTCTTCTTATCTTACAAAGTAATTTAGTAAATTAAAGCTGTTGCTGGACTTTTTAAGAATTACGGATTAGGTTTAAACATTAAGAATAGAGTTAAGAATGAGGTTTAGGAATAGGTATTAGAGTTAGTATTTCTTTTAGACTTTCTTCTCCGGAGGGGGAGGTCACTTGAATTTTCTAGGGGGGGGGGAAATAATTTTAACAAAGTGACTACTCAGAAAGCGATTTTTCTCCCCAACATCTCCACTTAGTCGGCAAAAGATAGTTCTGAACATGCATCTTTTTCCGGCTAGCATTGGCCTAATTTTAATATCTTGATTGAAATCGAGACTTCCGATTTCTTTGCTATGTGTCTTCAAAGATCGCAAGTTACTCTCTAGGCCTAGAATCTAGACCTTGTCACTACTGTGAACTTACTAGAATCTAGATCTAGATTTCTAAATAGTAAATACTAACTTAACATGAAAATGAAGTTCAAGACTGAGTTGCTGTTGCGAGCTCTGACTCTGACTGAGCCGAACCGCTGCTGAGCTTAGGCCAGACAAGGGAAATGGAGCCAAATTTAATGTCGATTTGCAGAATATGCAGATTTTGTTAGCAGGATAGTGTTATCTAACTATTTTCAAACCTCTTTTTGTTTTGCATCTTGCAGGTAAACATCTGGGGGGCCTAATCTTGGTTTTTTGAGCGGTACGTGTTCCTGACTTGGAAAGGCTGTCGCCATTTTTAAGACAATGTTGTGAGTTAGGCCCTTCTTGCCTGATTTTTTACTAGAACTATGCCTAATTTGAGTTACAAAAAAATTAAAAACATTTTTGTGTAGCCTATAGATCTAGATCTAGATTTCAGCTCAATTTTTTAAAATAAACTTTAATCTGAAAAAGATTTGATTTTTTTTTACTAAACAAGAACACATTTATCAAGCTATACTATATATCAAAAGTGTATGGAAAATCATGTCTTGTCTAATGTAAATATTCAGTCAGTGCAACCTGACAAATGCTGTGCTTTGTTTACCTTTTTCTTGTTGATAATTTAATAATTTATTCTTGTATGTAGATGTCTGTGTCCACTTTTTAAATGGGACAAGACTTCCATATGTTACTAGAGAAGAAGAAAAACAAAATAAACATTGGTAGAGATCACTGTTTGATTTAAATCACTCCTAATGTGTCCATTTCTTTTCGCCTATTTACGATTATTTATCAAATCTCTCAAGTTCTAGTTTTAGGCGTGTGCTTTGTAATATGTTGTGATTCCTTCACTGTGCCTTACCGAATCAATTTGGTGTGTAGGGCCTACTTACCAGTAAATAATATTGTCTAGTTTTAAAATGCGTACAAATATTTTCTATAAAAATCTTTTGTGGCATATCCAGTGGCGTAGCGAGGTCGGGTGTCACCCGGTGCGGCACTTAATGGTGTCACCCCCCAGAGGTTTAGCGACCCTTTTCGATTTGCACCCCCCCCCCCTCACACTTTTGATTTGCACCCCCCCCCCCCCTCAAACTTTCGATTTGCACCCCCCCCTCAAGTTTTTCTCTATATATTTTCCTATTTTTTGCCTTGGTTTCACCCCCCTAAATGGTGTCACCCGGTGCGGTCCGCGTCCCCCCCCCCGCCCCCCCCCCCTCGTTACGCCCCTGGGCATATCAATGCAACGGGGCCGATTTGTTTTAATCTCGGCACAAGGGTCATTTTCAAAACCCACGTTTTTCAAATAATAGTTATTTCAAATAGTTATGCATTAGTATTTATTTAAAGAAAATCGTTTATTTTCTACTTTTTAGTGCATTATTAATATAAAAGCTTGTTATTATAATATAAAAGCTTGTTATTATAATATAAAAGCTTATTATTAAAACGTTTTTATTGATAGTTTTTTTCTGTAAATAAATGTTTCTAGTAGCCGAAATCGACACTGCGAGTGTTCAAAAATGTAGGAAATCTTATCTGAATTCCCTATTTTGCCCTATTATTATTATTCTCGTAAAATGTTTTGGTCTGTGTTCTTTTTATTCAAAGTGATTTTTGTCCGCTTCTTATATTTCTCCGCCGAAATTCTAATCGCGAACTCGCATCACGGCGAACTGCAGCCTCCCCGTTTTATTTTACGACAGGTGTTGGCCCAACTACCTTGGCTTGCTGTGTCATTATCTGTCAACTATAAACGACGACAGCGGATCTTGCTTTATGTAAGGAATGCACATTATAGTGCTCTCCCCTGTGTGTCGTACATGATGTGTTCCACTCGTTAAACCAGTGTGTAGTGTGTACTTTTATTTTCATTGGAGTTTGAATATGGATAGATCTACTTTCTGAAACTTTCTTCGAAGTTTTATGAGATGAAAATTGCGCATGGTATTACTACAGTAGGGGCCTAGAGATCTATTCTAGACTCTAGTAATGGAATCTCAATCTGGCTAGTTTTTTTTTTTTTAGGCAAGCAAGTGTACTTAATTAAGTGTAGTGTAGAACTAGATATAGATCTAGTCTAGATTCTAGATCTAAATCTAGTTTACGTTCAAGAGTTGGAGTAAAATTTCGATAAGGGAGACTTATAAGACAAACATCGTGTAGATACAGTAGAATGGCGAGCCATGGTGGTTACACACTCGCCCCAACCGTCGATGAACCACACTCCAGCCCTGAAGCAGCAGGCCCAGCTAAAGTGGAAGTTTACGGAGGAGGTAGATCTAGTTCAAAGAAATGTCTGAGTCTGCCCGTGTTTTTATTGCTGGCCATCGCGGTGGCGGTCATGTTTCTTGCTGGGGTTTTAGTGGGGTTTTACATCAGCGAGGTACGGCTAGAGGACGAGTACGAAGCGGGGAAAACCCCCAGCAAAAACTGTGTCCCCAAGTCGAGAAACGAGGATATCGAAACGTACAGATTGGATAACGTCATGTTTCATAACTCTTTGGTGTATTCGATCAGAGGGGAAAACGTTACGGAGTTTGTCCAGTAAGTACCATTAATTAGGTTAATAATAGATCTAGCAATAAATAGTATACGTCCCTGCCCCAGTGGCGTAGGCAGGGGGGGGGGGTTAGGGGGGTTATAACAACCCCCCCCCCCCCCCACAGACCCCTCGGTATATATATAAAAAGTATGAGGGGGGGGGTGCAAATCGAAAGCTTGAGGGGGGGTGCAAATCGAAAGTTTGAGGGGGGGGGGGGGTGCAAATCGAAAGTTTGTCCCCGGGTAAAAATTGGAACCCCCCCCCCTTGAGACGATCCTGGCTACGTCACTGCCCTGCCCTATACAATATGTAGTAGTACATTTTATGTAGGCCTAACTGACTAAGCTATGTATTTCTTATAGTCTCTATGTCAACTATATGACACTATACGTTTATACACTAGTATATTGTAGCCTGTAGGGCAGGGCCTTCAATAGCCAATACATTTTCTTATTATAGGCCTATATATTATATTAAACGGGCCTATTTAGGCGATCTGAAACCAGCTGTAGGCAATATAATTAATGTAAGTAATGTCAATAGATGAGACGGATATTTACTAATAAATAATAAGCCTACTACATTACATTAGTCGCTAATAAACCCGAGGGAGCCCTACTGCATATTTTAAGCACGGATAATGACACAAAAATTGTTGACAATAAAACTGGCCGCTTGGTCCATTTCCCTCATCCCCTACAGCATAATTTATATTTAGAACAAGAAGATGACAAACACAAAGGAATCGAGTTGGCTAGAAAACTGGCCATTTTGTAAATTTCCCCTACCCCGACCTGTTTCTTTTGAGTATCTCGGCCTATTTATATTAAGCACAAGAAGATGACAAAGGCATTGTGTTTTCTAGGAAGCTGGCTACTTGGTTTAATTTCTCCTCCCCCCCCCCCCCTCCATATATATTTAGCACAAGAAGATGAGAAAGGAATTGTGATGAGTAGAAAACTGCTCACGCGTTAGTACTGCAAGGTGGGTCTGTTGAGTGTCGTCGTCCCCCCCCCCCCCCCCCCCGGAAATGTTTAAACTATTATTAATTGGAATACTCTTTGAACCACACACGAATTCTGCATACACGTAAATAACATGGAGCTCAAAATATACGAGGGGTTAAAAATAAATATTATTTTTTAAAAAATATGCGAAGTCTCCCACCCGTGACTGATCTAACATGCTTACCGCGGTGTCAGATGGCATAAGTAGCGTCAGCGAATAAGTTTTTAGTTTTAAAGTACCGAATCAATAAAGGGCGGGGTGGTTGGACGGAAGACCGCACGATTGCGGTCACTATATTCTCCTATATGGTCGTGATTTAAAATTGTCCCTTTGTCACCTTATCACTGTTTCTTCCAGGCATCTCTCCCCGAAATGAGTCTCCCCCTCCCCCCGAACGAAATGGAATTTGTATTAAAAATATATACTTTTAACAGTGCCCCCCCCCCCCCCCAGTGTCTGGAGGAAACGCTGCACCGAATGGCTCAATCTTGTGACGAAATATAAGGCCCAACTGTTTCTATTATCCTATCTTCAAATCATGCGTTGTTGTTGTTTTTAACTGTATCAATTCCTACTGATTGATATGTAATAAATACTTTTTTTTATAACCATCCTTGACCACATATGCCTATCTATTGTTATTATTGAGTTTCTGTATAACATTCGCTAGAATCATGCTAATATTCTAACTCTTAAACTTGACATTCAAGCCGATTCAGGCGTACCACGAACACCAAGACGCCGGCGAGATTCATGCAAATAATTATTCCCTGCGAACAACCAGCCGCAAATGGTAGTGAAAAATAAAGTGTGTGGCGGCGGCCGCCTCAACACCGGAAAATTCCAATCTTTTGTGTTTCACCGCTCCGCTGGTTGAAGATATCGGCTATCTACGGTGTTCGTACAGATAGGTTTCTACATGCAGTTTTTGTTAGGAGGGGGGTGAAGGGGGAGAAGGTGACTTACATTTGTAACTTAACTTTAACCTCAGTGAAGTAAAATTGTACTCTGTCACACTAAAAGCCATAGCCCAACTGTTAAGAAAATATTTAATGAACCCCTATATAGAGGTTATTATCGTAGTATCGCTCTCATAGTTCCTGTATCCAGCCATAAATGTAGTTCGAGTGAATGATACTGTCACAACTCTTCGTTTTGTGGTGGCGCTTTGTCTTCACTGAGGAACCCGACCATTAAGGTTGTTGATCTAAATTAAGTTATGTTGCGGGAGGCTTAAAATAGTAGAGATATTATATGGTGAAAATTGACCATTACACCTGCGACCCACGACAGTACTTCAGTCACTAGAAGTTTTAGACGTCTAATCGTTGTACAGGCAATCCTTCACACCAGGACGTTGCCGTATGACGTCTAATCGTACCTGCGGGACGTCAATGTTGACGTCTAATCGTACCGGCAATCCGTCTGACCAGGACGTCGATGTATGACGTCTAATTTCACATGCAATCAGTCATACCCAAGACGCCAACGTATGACGTCTAATCGCTGTATCGTCAATCCCTCAGACACAGGACGTCAATATGTGACGTCTTATCGCACCGGCCATCCGTCAGACCCAGGACGTCAGTGTATGACGTGTCAGCTGTTTGTCATCTTCGCACTAGTCTGTTTGAATTGTTTGTTTTCGTGGGGGCATGTTCGACACGTTGTGCCGTGTGCTTGACGGAGACCTTATGTTTACACAAACAAAAACCTCAAACTATTTAAATCAACCCACGCTCAAAGCCTTCTGACCTGAAAAGAGAAACCTTCAATGTTGAAAGAAATTATCCACGAGAAAAAAAAAAGAAAAAAATATCCCCGCCTAGAAGGAAAACAAAAAAATATGTTTGTAAACAATACAACTATTTAATGACATTACTTCCCCTGGGTGAATCTTTTGTGCGGAGTTGAGTGATTAATGTTCAAGGTAGACAACCGAATTAAAGGGAAGGAACTCATCACTCAATAGATAAACATTTTTACAAAGGTTATTACAGGAGATTATTTTTTTATGAAAATATAATTAAAATCGAGTTTTAAAATTTCTTAGTGTGGTTTATATTTTTAAATCGCGTTTGACAAAAACTCAGTCTCGTAGACACAATTTAAAATAATAAAAAGCCTGCAATTTTCACATTTCACGGTGTGTGCGTGTGTGCAGACAGATGGAAATTACTTTTTGGCAAAAAAGTATTGTTTAGAAACTTGAGCACAGTCTTCTGTTTTCGTTTACATACATCGCTGATATTTGATGTACGTCATTTCATTCTAACCCTCACCTTTAACATTCAGAATGGCGACTGTGGACTATTTTCTAGCTTGCGAATAAAATAAATAAATAAATATCGTGTCATCAGAGGCGTAGCGAAGGGGGTGCAGAGGGGTACATATGTCCCCGGGCGCTGACCTTAGGGGGCGCCAAAATGGGTTTGAAAAACAAATTAAAATATTATTTTAGCTGCATTTTTGCTTTGTAAATATAAAAAAATACACGAGGGGGGTAGGGGTGCAAATCGAAAATTGAAAGGTTGATCCCGAGGGGGGCGTCAAATTGAAAGTTTGTCCCCGGGCGCCGGGAAGGGTCGCTACGCCTCTGCGTGTCATCCATCACCATGTACAACCCAGCCATTCTGAGACTCCACCCACCGGCAAGTTCTTATTTGAAACCAACATGCTTCTATCATACTAGTACAGCACAGCTTTCTCCGATTTCTGTTTGATAATCCTTTAAGCTTAGCTCTACTTCAGCTTCTGTCTGGGCCCATAGATCAGCCCCAAGCGAACATCACCCTAGCAGCCTCGGCCCACATAGTAACCCAGCCAACCCTAACCCAGCTTCTGTGTTTTGATTTATTTGGATTAGAACTCGATCCACTTAGGGCGGGCGACCGTGTAAATTTACTTTCCCGCTCGCCAGTTGCGCCCCTTTGTACCCCGGTATCACCAGGAGGAACAAAGGGGGCGCTACTTTACCGGTCTAAAGGCTGGCTCGTTAAGTGGACTCACCGGGGCTTCAGTATACTAACAAGGAGGCTTAAGACGCCCAGAGTGTTTGTACATTCTCTGACTCGTCCACTGGTCTTTAGACTAGGGATGGACCACAACTCTTACGGTTTACGGATCGTCTTCTAGTCTTTAAAACTACGTCTCGCCGACTAGTCATAAGACTAGGACTCGTCCACTGGTCATAAGACTACGAGTAGTATATTAGGTCGCTTTTGGACCGCATTTTTGGCGGAGGTGGGGATGTGGAGGAACAATGACATATAGCAAAATACTCGGGAGCAGGATGCGCGGGTGGCGCAAAGACATATAGTAAAATACTACGCCAGCTGCCGCATCGGGATGTGGAGGGTGGGTGAGCAGGATGTGGGGGTGGCGCAAAGACATATAGTAAAATACTACGCCAACTGGGGTTGGCGGAGGTGGTGGGGAAGTAGGTCACCTTTTGGTGACCTTGTGACGTAATCATCGGCCTTGTGACGTCATCATTGACCTAGTTACGTAATGTTAATGCGTTTTAATGAGTTTTAATGAGTTTTTTAAATTTTAATTAATTTTTATTGACTAGTTACGTAATTTGATTATTTGTTTACTTTTTTAATTGCTTAATTTGTTTGTTTACTTGTTGTTTAATTTAATTACTTTGTTTATATTGTGTAATTTTTATTAACGAGTTACGTAATTTGATTATTTGTTTACTTTTTAATTAATTTTTTATTGAGTAGTTACGTAATTGGATTTTAATTTTTTGAATTTTTAAATTTTTAATTTTATTTTATAATTAGTTAAATTATTATTAACTAGTTACGTAATTTGATTTTAATTACTTTGTTTATTTGTTTATTTAATATATTTCTTTTCTTTGTTGTTTAATTTGTTGGTTTGTTTATTTGCTTGTATGTATGTTTAATAGTAAACGGAGAGGGGGGTGGTTGAGGGGAGGGGTGTGCTAGCGTGGACTTTGTATAAGGACCATTCAGCAACACAA